CCAGTCATATTTGATCTAAAATTCAGTTACATTTGATGCTCAAGCCAAGGTTTCTTTCTGTCAGGTTAGTCTGCTTCTCAGTAAAAGGGGAAAACTCATTCTGAGATAGATAAAGGGTGGCCAGGCGCGGTAGCTCATGCCTGTAATCCCAGTACTTTGGGCAGATCACAAGGTCAGGAGTTTGAGACCAGCCTGGCCAATATGGTGAAACCCCATCTCTACTAAAAATACAAAAATTAGCCAGGGGTGGTGGTGGGCACTTGTAGTCCCAGCTACTGGCTGAGGCAAGAGAATCACTTGAAACCAGGAGGCGGCGATTGCAGTGAGCCGAGATCGTGCCACTGCACTCTAGCCTGGGCGACACAGCGAGACTCCATCTCAAAAAAATAAAAATAAGTAAAAATAAAAGATAAAGGGCCTTTAAAATAGGACATAGTTGTTTGTAGAATCTCTCTTTTAAAACATTTTTGAATGCTTACTTTGGCTAAATTAAGAGGTAGGGCAGCTTCTCCAGAGAAGGAAAACTTATTAGGAGAGGCATTTATTAATCACCCACCCTTTTCCAGCAAGTGTGAGCCACACTGGGCATTGTTGAGGCCCTGGATCTTATCGAAGGTGAAAGAATTCAGCATGGCATGGGGAAGTGCCACTGGGAATCAGGTGGACAGCGATCAGCTGCTGAGGACAGCAGGCAGCTGCAGCTGGAGAGGGAGAAGGGAGCTGAGAGGAGAGATGAAGGAGCTGCTGCGAGATGGGCTCCTGGGCTAAAACAGGCATGGTTGGGTGCGCAGGGCTCCGTGTCTCCCTGCTGAGCCCCTGGGAGCTGCAGGAAGATAGATGAACCTTGGCTTCCAACAGGAGCGGCATGCCTGGAACCGTTGGTGGGATTAGAATGAGCTGGCCCTGCTTCTACGGCTCCATTGTGGCCTTTGGCAAGTCCTCACTTTTCTGTCTAGAAAATGTGGCAGTTGGGACTCGATTGTCATGAAATGCCAGGAAAGAGAGTGTGTGTGCACGAGTGACAGGGAGGGAATGCAAGTGCAAGAGAGAGCCTGAGTGATTTCATGTGGTTTCTTGTTTTGTATTACCAAGAATGAGGAAGCTCTCTGATCTCAGGTTGCGTGGGGGCTTTGTCTGTGGAAAGGGGCTGTCCTCACAGGCAGAGCAGATGACATCTCCACATCCCTTTAGTCCTTTGATCTGTGTGTTCCATGTGTCCTTCAGTCTCACATGAGCAAAGCATAGCACACACAGGGCAACTTTGGGGAGCTCTGAGGGCACCATCTTTCCTTAGGACCTGCTTTGCAGACTCCCAGTGGACCATCATCTTGCCCTGCAGCCAACCCTATGCAAAAATGTTCCTTCTAACATTCATTTTAGGGATATCTTTATTTCTCCCAAAGAACCAATTTTTTTCCTGCCCTCCCATAACCATGAGAACAATAAAACTGAGCATACTTTCCCTGTTGGCATCAGTGGCCAGGAAACTTGCAATTGAGTCTCAATGTCATTATTGCCACGATGTATTTGTGGTCAGCATGGATATTTCCTTCTTCCCTGGGCCTCAGTCTCAATGCATATTTTTTTGCATGTCATTTATGAGCTGCCTTAAAATGGTCAGGGCTTCTCCTGTCATACCCCTAGGCCTTCCTTCCAAGACTTCTTTACTTGAAAAGGTACCCTTTGTTCTGATTTTTTTTTTTATTTTTGCCCTGGTGAGGGCAAGGGTTGTGGTACAGAAGCCTCACTGCTAGATTTAGCAGTCTAGCCCCAAGCCCAGGCTCTGTCCCTGACTTTCTGGGTAACCTCAGGCAACTAACATGGTTTTTCTGGGTTTTGGTTTCTTTCTCTATAGAATGATAGGTTGTGATGAGGTCTACTCCAGATCCTTTCCATTCTGATTCTGAGAGTGTGTTAGTCTCTGTTGGTACTTGGGGTAAATGCCAGGGGATTAGGGACATGACTCCAGGATCCTAAGAATCAAGGCAGAAATCTGGGAAAAAAATGAGAATCTATAGGGATGAAGTCTCACCATTTTCCTCATCCTGTGATGCTTTAGAGCTGGAAGCTTGGGAGAAGGGGGAGGGGAGAGAAGCCGGACTGAGGCTTGACAGCTCTATCAGTCAGGAAACCCAGGGAAGCATATGCTGTGGCCAAGGTTGCTGAAGGGCCTCCATCTGCCAGGAGCCACTTGCCAGGCAGCCACCAAGCTGGGGCTGGCACCACTGCCCCTCCGTTCCTCACATTTCTCCATGGGTGTTTGCAGAGGGGCAGCCCTGGAGCAGCTGGGATGGTGGAAGCATGGGAACCAGTGCTCCCCCTACTACTCCCTACCCAGACAGGAGGCCTGCCAGACATTGCTCTGGAAAGCCATCCCAGGTCAGTTGGCCTAGCAGAGGTTGCCAGTCACTTCAGAGTCACTCACGCCTGGGCCTGCTGACGTCCCCTGAGGTGATAAAGCAAGAATTATTTCTGAAGAAGGGAAAAAGAGAGATCTCCTTTGACAGGTAATAGTGATAGCAAGAAATGTTCAGTCCTCTAATTTCCCAAGAACTGCCCCCATCCCTCCATTCATTACCTTGGTTGGATCCCAAAGAGACAGGCAGGGCCAGGAAGGTGGTGCCTTCCTGAGTGAATGCATGAGATAGCTGAGACGAACAGAGGTCAAAGACCCAAGGTCACCAAGAGGGATGATGTGATATAGCTCAGAGGACATGCGGGTCTCTCAGTGGTGGGCTTGCATAGCACCTGGGCTGCTGGGTGGGATGCAGCAGTTGTTGGAAGAGGAAAGAGCAGTGCTCTTCATGGAAAGGGCTTCTCCTTTGCCTGTGAGGCTGATTCTTAGAGGAACAGGGAGAGTCACTAGTTAGGAAGAAGGCACAAGAATTTTTTTTTCCTTTTTCTTTTTTTTTTTGAGACGGAGTCTCCATTCTGTCACCCAGGCTGGAGTGCAATGGCGTGATCTCGGCTGACTGCAACCTCCACCTCCCAGGCTCAAGTGATTCTCCTGCCTCAGCCTCCCGAGTAACTGAGATTACAGGCACTCATCACTTTGCCCAGCTAATTTTTCTATTTTTAATAGAGACAGATTTTTGCCATATTGGCCAGGCTGGTCTTGAAATTCTGACCTCAGGTGATCCACCCACCCCAGCCTCCCGAAGTGCTGGGATTACAGGTGTGAGCCATGTGTCTGGCCAAGAATTTCTTTTTAAACAACTTTCTAGAGTATGCTTACCTCTTATGTCTGTGATGTCCTGCTTTTATGGAAGCATGAGCAGCCCAAAATGCAGGTATATACCTGCTCATCTCCATTGTGGTATCTTAGAGTCTCATGGAAAAGAAGGTTTTTTCTTTTATGCAGCAGAACGATAAGTGTCCCAGGTCTACTGTATTATGAGACCTTCATGATGCAATAGAAATGCAGGTGCCCATGACCTGGAAATCCAGGGTCCAGCCCTTGGTGACTCTTGTAACCTCTGGGGCTTCAGGTTTGCCATAGATCAGATGGACTAGTCTCCACCTGTCCTCCCTCTATGGGGAACTTGTGGGGATTCAACGAAGTTGTGAATATGCAAGAGCTTTAGGGGCAACCTGTCTCCTCCAGGCTGACCCAGAGTCAGGAGCTCTAGGTAAGCATCCTGGGCCCAGTTACCTGAAGTCAGGTAGAGGCGGGAGCACTGACTCTTGCTCCCCTTCTGCTGCAACTTGCTGAGCCATTCTGGGAGAGTCCCTACCCCTTTCTGGACCATGCCTGTCTTTTTATTAATACAACGGTTCATTTAAATACACACACACACACACGTGTGTGTGTATATATAATGGAGTCAGGGCAATGGTGGTTCACACCTGTAATCCCAGCAACTCAGGAGGTGACACTGGGAGATTTCTAGAGGCTAGGAGATTGAGACCACCAAGAGCAATATAGTGAGACTCCACCTTTAAAAAAATAAAAAAATAGATTAGCCAGGTGAGGTGGCTACTAGAGAGGTTGAGGCAGGAGGATCACATGAGCCCAGGAGTTTGAGTCTACAGTGAGCTATGATTTTGCCACTGTACCCCAGCCTAGGTGACAGAGTGAGACCCTGGCTCTAAAAAAATAAAATAAAATATATATTACATGTATTTTTAAAAATTTGTTTTTTATTGAGATATAATTTATATTCCATAAAACTTACCCTTTTAATGGCCGGATGCAGTGGCTCCCACCTGTAATCCAAGTACTTTGGGAGCAGGGAGGCCAAGGAGAGTGGATTGCTTGAGGCCAGGAGTTCAAGACCAACCTGGCCAACATGGAGAAACCCCATCTCTACTAAAATATACAAAAATTAGCCGGGTGTGGTGGTGTATGCCTATAATCCCAGCTACTTGAGAGGGTGAGGCATGAGAATCACTTGAACCCAGAAGGCGGAGGTTGCAGTGAGCCAAGATCGTGCCATTGCACTCCAGCCGGGCAACAGAGTGAGACTCTGTCTCAAAAAAAAAGAAAAATTAACCTTTTAAAATGTACAACTGAGGGATTTTAGTATACTCCCAAAATTATATAACCATCACCACTATCTACTTCTAAAAAGTTTTCATCTTCCCAAAAAAGAAATCCCATTCCCATTACCAATCATTCTCTGTTTCTTCTTCCCTTCCAGTGTGTTTTCTCTCTGTATGCTTTTGTCTGTGCTGGACATTTCATATAAATGGAATCATGCAATATGTTGCCTTTCGTATCTGGCTTCTTTCATTTAGCATAATGTTGTCAAGGGTCATCTATGTTGTAGCATGGATCAGTAATACTTCATTCCTTTTATAGCTAAGTATTCCATTGCATAGACGCATCACATTTGTTTATCCATTCTTTTGATGGACATTTGGGTTGTTTCCACCTCTTAGCTATTGAGAATAGTGCTACTGTGAACATTCTCATACAAGTTTTTGTTTGAACATCTATTTTCCATTCTTTGGGGTATATACCCAGCAGTAGAATTGCTGGTTCATATGGCAATTCTATGTTTAACTTTTCGAGGAACCACCAAACTGTTTTCCATAGCAGCAGCATCATTTTACATCCCCACCAGCAATGCATGAGAGTTCCAACTTCTCCACCTCCTTGACAACACTTGTTATTGTCCATCTTTTTCATGCTAGCCATCCAAGTAAATGTAAAGCAATATCTCATTGTGGAAAATAAGTATTCCATAGATTTTTAACCTGAAAACTCATTTTAAAAAAGTAGTCTTACTTCACACCTTCCATATGTAAAACATATATGAGAGGAGCCTCTTCAGGTGAAATGGGGAAGGAGGCCTGAGCCACCCCTCTCAGTAGGTGCAGAGGCAAGTCCTCTGGGGTGGTTTGAAGACCTAGGCTCAATGCCCTTCAGCTCTGGAGTCTGAGTCTAAGGAGAATCTGAGGACTGGAGACACGTCATGTGTAGCAGCTGCCTCAGCCCTCAACCTATCCTGGTTGCCTGGGGAACCTCCTCACAGCATTTGGCCAAGTTGTGCGTCTGCCTTGCCGCTGTGTTGGGGTTGCCACAGTGAGAAGAAGTTGGATGGCACCTCATCTGTGGTCCCAGATTTGAGGGTGGCTTGTGCAGGAAACAGGAAGCAAGGTGGAGAAATGCCAGCAAGTCCTGGAAGGAAGATCCTTGGTTTTGTTGACAAAGGAGGAGCAGAGGCACATAGTGGCTGCTGAGGCCATAGTCAGCGCAGGGTTTACTGAACTCCTCAGCTGTGAATAGCCCTGATAGTGCTAATCTTCTGAGATCTAGAATGCAGCTTCTGGAACACTCCCAGGCCTGTCTTCTATTCCCACCTCTCTGCATTAGCATTCTAGGAGCACCAGGCGCTCTGCTGTTTGATGGGTGGAATGTTCTGCGTTCTAGTGTTGCCTTGGCAAAGAGAGGATCCCTCCCAAGTTCTGCTCTGTTGATTGCAACGCTCTGCTTTCCACAGCTGTCAGTGGTTTGAGTCATCAGACACAGATTGTTCTGTTCCCTTGGATTTTAGGATAGCTTTCTTCTTGTATCAATGGCTAATTCTTTGAAAGAAGATAAATTATAGTACATACAGGGACTTTTGCTTAGCTGGAATATTAGATTAACCCAAGCACCTGGTTTTTCCCCCATGACTTGTTGATTGAGTAAAATGCTATCATGTCTCTTTGAAGAATGGAGCTTCCTAATTTTACATATGTGGAAACTGAGACCCAAAAGTCCTAGTAATGAAGGAGAAGGAAGCATCAATGAGAAGCCCATAATTTCATTAACAGCCCTGGAATTAGAGAATGTTAGATCCAGAGCACCTTAGAGACCATCTAATCTGACTCTTTGGTCTATCCAATGTGCTTGTTTAAAACATTGTGTTACCAACAATTGTGTGTTGATTAGGTTTGTTTTTATGAAATTTCCCAGGGGATGGTGTTCCCGGAGTTTTGGTCCAAGGCATAGCATCCTAAGTGGCCGAGACAGTGATAGGAGAAGTCATTTGTGGAAAGGCTGTGGGTGGGGCCTAAAGAAAGAGTGCAACGTATGCTTGAGGACAGACAGGGAAGGTGCTGCAGACAGGACAAACAGCCCATGTAGAGATGCAGATTTGGGAGTGACTAGCTGAAGTCTCCCGGATGTATCAGAGAGCCAGTTGGAAAAGGTGTCAATGGGAGGGCCTTAAACAGCCACATCAAGAGCTTTGCTCTGATTTTTACCTAATCTGGGACTTCCAAGGAATTTTGAACAGGATCCAGGCCCTTTTCTCCATTGTTCCTGCCATGACCCTGGCCCAGGCCTTCCTAATTTCTCCCCTGGTTGGTAACCTCCTAACTGGTATCCCTCCCTTTCCACACAGGCTGCCTACCCAGGAACTTTCTAAAATGCAAATATGATTGTGCCCCTTTCCTATAAAGCACTTGCATGGCTTCCTGTTGCGCACAGGACAAGATCCTGGCTTAGGTGGCTCTGCGTGGCCTTCCCCCTCCTCCTGCAGCCTCATTCCCACTGTACTTCTGCCCTCACTGGGCTCCCTAGTTTCCAAGCAGCCAGCTGTCACTCACTGCCTGTGTCCAGGCTTCTCCTTCCCTCCCATTTGCTGCTGCTGCCTGGTGAACTCCTATTCATCCCTCAAAATGCAGTGCAAATTCCTTGTGTAGGGAAGCATTCCTGGATCCTCCTGAATACACTATTATGCCTTGAATGTGTTTCTGTTTTGAAGTTCACTTCATGTTACTTCCAAAATACTGGCTGCTCCCATGTTTTAGTGTTTATTGTGTGATAGGTACTGGCCCAAGCCCCGTACTCACATTATTTTACGTTATTCTCACAGTAACCATGTGAGGTGTGCTCATTACAGCCCCAGTTACAGGTATGGACACTGAGGCTCAGAGAAGTGGTGTGACTTGCCCAAGGCATGCAGCTGAAGGGCGATAGAGGTGGCATTTAGCCCAGAGCAGTTCATATCGATTTCTGTAGTCATTAGTCTCCTGCTCCCTGGACCCCCATTGTTGGGGGGCTTAGGAAGTGTTGAGCATTTGAGGGAGCAGTCAAAGGAGTGGATGCAGCAGGGTTGCTATGGTGTGGACAAGATGGGGAAGTGGAGGGAAGTTCAGTGAGGGCAGGGGCTGGGTTTACTCTGGAGCTAAAATGATGAGAGACTATCAGCCCAGCTTCCCGCAGTTAGAGGGTTTTCTTTCTACCTTCCTTTCCAAGTGGCAGCCTCTGGCCACCTGGGGAGAGGCCTGTGGGACTCCAGGCTAAGCAGGTGGCATAGTGACAAACACCATGGCAACCTGCCTCCTTTCTGGGGCCTAGAAGGGAGGGAGGACCTGAGAGAGCACAGGGTGCACACTGAGTTTTCTGAGTGAGATCCTGAGAAGTGGCTCCCTTTGGGCCTGGGTGGCCTCTGCCCTCCCATGAGGGACCCTGCCTACAAGGTCCCATCCCAGTAGGGGAAATGCCTCTTCCACCTTTGTCCCTGATGAATAGCTGGCTCTGGGTTCCCAGGAGACTGTTAGCTGTACCCAGGTACAAATGCCATCCCCTTCCCTCCCCCACACCCGGGAGGAAGGAAGAGGGAACTCAAGAGGAGGCAGGTGTGGGGTTGCCAAGCAAGGTAGTGGCAGGGACAGCTGGGACAAGGCCCTCATTGTAGCAAGGCCACACACAGCTCTAAGACAAACCAGGCATTTTGCCTGCTTCCCAGGACTGGGCCTAGCACTCTGCCTGGACCTTCCTGGCTCCTTAGAACACTCACTCACGCTGGCTTGGAAGAGCCCATCCTCAGATATGAGTCCTGCCTCTGCTGGAAAGTCCTCCTGAAGGCTCAGCCTCCTTTTTGTATCCTCCCAAAAGCCAGAAGGGCAGGGGCGAAGGTGGGAGAGTTGTTAGTGAAGCCAGGCTGACCAGAAGCCAGAGCATGTCACACCTGCAGCTGTGTGACCTTGGGCCCAAATGCAATAACAAAGCCGGCCTTGAAGGATTGCTGCTTGAAGTAATGGGCCAAGGCAGACGAGAGCACTCAGCATGGCCACCTTGCCACAGAAGGATTCAGGAAATGGCAGGTGATCCTTGGAGCCCTTACCCATGTCTCCCTCTGCACCCTAAGCTGTCAAGATCTTCCTGTGCCCAGGAGGCAGTGAGCCATTTATGGCCATCCTCATAAGCATGGAGGAGCACTGATGTCCTCTCACCCCCAAATCACCCCTCCTCCATGGTTCCTGCTCTAGGGGCCAGCCCTACAGTTCCAGGAGGCCCTGCCTGGGTGACTGGGGCATGATGAGTGGGAAGCATTGCCAAGCTGGGGCAAGCAGCTCAGGTGACAAGCGTGGTGTCGGCAGGTCCTGCAGCCCAGCACCCGACACCTCCAGGCAGACAATGCTGGCTGTGTCCAGACCCTCCAGGGGAACAGGCCGTGTTCTATGTCCCCGCCAGGAAACAGGCCATCTGAGCAGTGCCTTTGTCCACTCAGGAGGCAGCCCCGCCACTGGCTGGGATGACCAGGCTCCAGGGAGGCCCTGACGTGGGAAGGGGGTGGTCCCCGGGCCAGAGACTCTGGGGTTTGAGATCCAGCCCCTCAGCATCTGATGTTGACCGGGTTTCGATATTGGCTCTGCCACACACCTGGGATGTGACTTGGCCAAGTCCTTCCCTCTCGGTGGCTGGATTCCTTATCTGTAAAAGGGGACTAATCACAGCACTTCCTCATAGGGTTGTTGAGAGGAGTCAATGGCATAATGTACGTAGCGTGGTTGGCACGAGGTCTGGTGTGGAGTGGGGCTCGGTGAATGCTTCCCTCCAGCATGGGGAGAGGTCCGGGCATGACATCCTCAGCCAAGTCTCCTGGAACCCAGGCTGCTGTCCCCAGTCCCTGCTGTGAGCGTGGAAAGAGGGGACTGAGGTCTCTGGAGCTGGCACAGGACCAGCACATTGGCTGCAAAGAGCCCAGGTTCCCCACTCTGCCCCAGACTCCAGTAACTCTGGGCTAATGCCCAGTATAGCCCTCTTCCTCACAACAGCGAAAATCCAGCCCAGCATGGGGCCTCTCCTCTCCTGAAACCCCGGAAAGGCTGCCCTTGGAGCCCAAGCCTCTACCCAGGAAAGAAGCCTGAGGACTCGGGGGCAGGAACCAGGGGCTTGAGTCTACCTGCCCACTTAGCAAGAGGCCCAGTGATGGGTCTTTCTAGACATGAACGCTTCCTCCTGGGTCCACTCACTGGGACACCCGCAGCGGAGGGCCTCTGCTCCCATCCACCCCAGTGCTCTTCTGCTTTAAGTCTGTGCCCCTACATTCCTGGTAGATGCCAAAACCAGCATGCGCATTGCATGGGTGGGTGCAGATATGCCTGTGTGCCGTGTGGGTGCGGGAGGGCCTGGCTGCATGTCCTGTGCCATGGGCTGGCTGCCTGAGCACATTCGTGGAGGCACGTGTGGCACGTCTTGGAATGGCAGGGACATGGTACCTTCTCGTGTTGGTGTGTATCCATATGTCTTTCTACACATGTGCTGGTATGTTGGTCTGTCTTGTCTCCCCTGTAGACGGGAAGCCCCGAACCACGCGCCAACTGGGAAGGTGATGGTCGGCGAGACCAGCCCATCCTAATTCGGGGTTCCTGGTCCTGCTCCAGGAGTCCTACGGCCTGCAGCCCCTACCAGAGAGGGAGGACTGAACAGCAAGGGGGTGTGTGGGTCTGAGTATCAGGGTCCAGGGGAAGAAGCAGGCCTGGCTTGTAGAGTAGAAGACTCAGTACCAGCAGTCAGGAGGCCCTGTTCCTGAAGCCTCTGTGACCTTGGGCACAGCCTTCACTCTGTCTGGGGCACATTCACTCATCTGGAGAACACAGGGTTGGACTGATGATTTTTAGCCACTCCTGACAGTTGTGGTTTTAAGTTGGGTGGTGGGAACCTGTGCACCAGCCCCATTCAATTCACTGGTGGAGGCAGCCGTGGCCTGCCAGGCCCTCGCTCCTGGGGTGTCCTGCCGAAGGGTGAGAAGAGAAGCCATGCCGGGCAGCGGCCCCAGCGAGAGGATGACGTGGCCTGGCCCGGCCCTTTCTGCGGGACCCCCAACCCGCCCTCTCTCCTCAGCCCCTGGGATACCACCCATCCCACCACTTACTCGGACCCGCAGCCTCATGGCCATGTCCCTGCCGGGAAGTCGACGGACCTCTGCTGGATCCCGCAGGTGAGTCTCCCCCTTGCTCAGAGCCTAGGCTTCGGAGGGCGGGAGGCGGGCGCGGGCCTGTCTCCACCTGCCACCGACTTGCAGTGTGTCTTTGAGCAAATCATTTCCCATTCCCATCTTTAAAATGGGCTTGCTAACACCTGCCTCCTCCTGGAACTATTCAATGGCTCAAATGACACAGAGTGGATGTGAGAGTTCTCGGAACGCGTAAACCACTGGATTCCTACCAACAGTAGCCTCATCAATACTGTTTGATTTTTCACAATGACTGGAGGGGAGTCGTGTAGTCATCCACTCAGACTCACCTGGTGTCCCTTGATTTTTACCTCCGGGGGTCCCTCCTCCTGTCCCCACCCCTGTATGCCCCATTCTTTTCCACCTCTGTCTCAATCTATGCAGGGATCTCCTCCCCTGGGTTTGGGGAACCCCAGAAGTTGAGGACCTTGATAAGCACATATGAGGCCCCACCCTTGCCCCGCAGCCCTGCCGGCCTCCATTCTTGTCCCTGGGGAGCCAGGAGGACCAGCCTTCTTCTGGTTTTCCATCTTGATTTGCACTGTCTGTTCTGTCACCCCTGTCTGTGCGTCTCTCTCTCCCTGCTTCTCTCCCCTGCGGTGACCCCAAAGCGGGGGCACTTTGGGCCGCAGCGGCCTGGCAGTGTTCGCCCAGTGTCCGCAGCTGCCCGCCAGCCAGAACGAGCACCTGCCTCTTCTTCCTGCCTCCAGGCGCACCTCTCCACCCGTGAGCGTGCGGGATGCCTACGGCACCTCTTCGCTCAGCAGCAGCAGCAATTCCGGCTCCTACAAGGGCAGTGACAGCAGTCCCACGCCAAGGTAATTGGCCCCTCCTCTCTGGTCCTGACCCTGCTGGCTGGGAACAGGTTGTCCTGGGGTGGGGCAGGTAGGGGAGCAGGATCATGTTCTAACCACCCCCGACGCCAGCATAGTCGCTGGCTGTGTGACCTTGAGCAGGTCACTTCTCCTTTATGAGCCTCAGTTCCTGTCTGTAAGATGGATATGACAATATGCAGCTGTACATTAAAAAAAAAAAAATACAGTGGCTTAAACAAACTAGGGGTGATGCTTGCAGAATAAGGAGCCAGGGGTTGGCAGCTCCCTGAAGTGTCAGGACCCCATGCCTTCTCTCCATGCTCCACCATCCTTAGTGTACAGCTTTTGTCTTTGTCATCACAGGTGGCTTCTGTACCTCCAGGTATCAGGCCTGCCCTCCGGGAAGGAACAGGTGGAAAGGACCAAAGCCCTCCTCAGAGGTTGTTTTTCTGAGAGGGACACCTTGCCCCCAAATCCTGCCAGTTCTTGCTGGCTGGAACTGGGTCATGTGAATAACTCTAGCTGCAGGGCCAATTAGTGTCTTCCCCAGAACAGCACCACCCCAGACAAAATGAGGGTTCTGCTATGAAGAAAGCAAGATGAGTGCTGGGAAGCAGCCTACAGCGTCTACCATCATGCACTTCTCAGGGGAACACTTTGAGAGTGGCAGAGGTGGAATTGGCTTGGAAGGCGAAATGTTATGAATGCAGCAGATGCCAAGTTGTAGTCTTGGGTGAGGTGAACTTGGACTCACAAAGCAGGATCATGTTGGAGAAGCAGGTGTAGGGGAGCTGTGGGTCCTTGAAGACCAGGAAGCAAGAGCTATCATGGTAGGCCTTGTCCTGCTTCCCCAGCATTGAAATACAAGTGAGAGGTTGGGGCATGTGGGGACGAGCATAGGCTCTGGATTTGGTCTCTTCCTGTCTTCAGCCTCCATTTCCTTTCTTTAAAGTGGAGCTAATAACTCAGAAGCTTCAGTGACTTGATATCTACACACCGCCTGTGCATCCTAGTTGGCCGATAGTTGATACCTCCTGTCGTTAGAGCTTTGATCTGACTTAAGGCCAGGAGATGCCCGGCCTGCGGCTCCCATGACTGGAGCACCTCCTGGGAGGGCTCAGTGGAGAGGATGTCATTTGTGTGACTCGATGTCCCGAGCCACTGAAACAGCAACTCTTAGATTTCCATCATGACACATGTGATGGGTAACACCCATGTGCAGGACCCATGCCCCAGCATCCTGGCTGTAACACCACCCCAGAGACTGGGGGACATAGGAGTAAGGTGTTAACTTACATTTTGAAAACCATATAATTGGCAACTTAATACTTTTCTATTAGTAACGGATTTTGTAACACATCTCATAACTGCAGCCCATGGAGATAATCCCAACCCCGGGGCTGAGAATTGCTCCCAGTCTTCTTACCCACAGTGAAGGTTGCTGCCCCTGGGTGAGCAGTGGGGCCACAGTTAGGTCCCCTCTGCAAAAAGCCAGGCTTTCCAAGGCAGGAATAGCTGAGAAACATGCACCGTAGCATATTTTTTTTTCTAATTTTAGTTTATATATATATGTATACTTACATATATTTTACAAAGATAGAGCTAGTGACTAAAAATGTGTATGTGTTAAATTTTATATTGGGGAAAAATACTCATGAAAGCAAAATGAAAAATGTAAAATAGTTACTTCCTCTCTAATCCTCAATCCTTACTAGTTTAGCTAATCTTGGTTTCCCCACTCCTACCACCCCTTGCCAAGGGGTGACTCCTCCACCCCTTGCCAAGCAGAGAGGAGACCTGCGTGACTTGGCTTGAGTTAACCTAGGGGCCATGAGGTGGGTACATAGAAGAAAACCATGTCTCATTCAACTTCTGTAACCACTTTCTCTTTGACAGTTTACTACTTACAAGTACTTCTTCCTCGGTAAACACTATACAGCATCCGTGGAACTTTTAAAACTGCCTCCAGCTTGGCTGCTTCAGCAAATGGGCCTCACCAGGGCCTGCCTTTTCCAGGCTCATAAAGGGGCATTGCCCCTCCCTAGACCTGCCAGTCACTCTCCCCTCAAGGAGCAGAGTTGGATGGATGGGAACAAGGCCTGAGTCTCTAGTCGCGTGAGAACATGTCCAGGTTTTAAGCCAAGATCCAAGATTTCTTTATGAGCAGAACAACCGGCAGCCAGGATGCTGAGAGTAGAGCTGGCTGGGCCATAGTCTGTTGTGGAGTTGGGGAGTTCTCCTTCCCTCTGAAAGCCTGGCCCTCCCTCCCCTACTGGCACCTGACTGCCCTCTGGGTGGCAATTCCTTCTCCTTTGCCCTGGTAGGGTACCATGTCAGTGTCGCCCTGTGCTGGGAGCAGTGCACGTCCAGCCTGCTGCCACCCCAGAGTACCGCAGTGGACAGGTCCCTGCCCAGAGCTGGCAGGTATTCACGTTTGTGCTCCCATGTGTCCCCCGGAGGTGAAAGTGTGAACATGTGCCTGGGCTGGTGCCCTAGTACCTGTGAGTAGCTGTGAGGCACAAGTGTGTCTCCATGTTTGTGGGCATGTAGGTGCGAACGGACTGGGAATTGACATCCCAGGAAGTGTGCATGCATGTAGTGCACACCCACATGTACACAGCGGGGCTGAGGAGTGAGAGTGCCAGGGCGTGTGTGGAGAGAACTGTGCCTGCACCTGTCTGCCTTCCCTGTCCCCAGGCTGTGAGGGGTCTTGGTTCTAGAGAGGAGAGCTTCTGCCTCCACCTCTCTAGAACCTCCTCTGAGGAGGTGAGTCCTTGTCTGCCATGCAGACCCAGAATCTGCCACTTACACCTGAGTTTCCAGCCTTCAGGCTCATTCTCTGGGTTGGAAGACGAGGTACCTGGGTTCTGGGATGCACCACTGGGATTGCCTGAGGGCCTCGGGGCAAGAGCTAACCTCTCTGAGGCCAGAGGCCCCTCTAAAAGATGAAGACAGTCCCTACTTCCAGGGTTGCTGTAAGGATTGACGGCATTGGTCAAGCGCTTGGCCTGGTTCCAGGCTTACGCGTGTGCTCTGGGATATATCTCCCCACCCAGCCATAACTAGAGCAGCCCGGAAGCCTGCATCCTGACACTGGTTTTCACTTAGAGGAACTCTACTGAAACCCACCTGCCAGAAGGCTGAGGGTTCTCCTGCCTTGTGTGGGAGGCCTGGCTTGGAGCCATCTGGTGGCCAGGGGTGGTGAGGCTGGCGTCCCCTTGCTCCCCAGAGGTAAACCACCTGTGCCTTGCCTGACCTCTTCCTCCCTCCCTGATGATGGGCATCCCCTTGCAGGCGCTCCATGAAATACACGCTGTGCAGTGACAACCATGGCATCAAGCCCCCGACCCCGGAGCAGTACCTGACCCCCCTGCAGCAGAAAGAGGTGTGCATCCGGCACCTGAAAGCCCGGCTGAAGGACACGCAGGACCGGCTCCAGGACCGGTGAGCGGGTGGCCACGAGCAGCCCTGGGGGCACCCCACCAGCTAGCTCCACACTCAGAGAAACCAGGGCCCTGGCGTGCCTCTTGGAAGGAGGAGTGGCTGGGGGTCTCCCAGCATCCATCTGCTGTCTCCTTCCCAGCAAAGCCTCTTTTGAGCCCACTTGCAGACCCTCATCCCCAGCAGCTACTCACCTTGACTGCTCCACCAGGCTGCTGGGGGCAAGGTGGGAGCGGTTTCCCATGAGGGCCTATCCTGTGGGGCCTCCGGCCTGTGCTGTCCTCTCCCAGCTACAGCCTGGCGGCCCCTCTGGCTACTTCTTTTCCTCTGGCTCCCGACTTCCAGGAGTTGGAGCACAGGGCTTCTTTCTGACTTACTTGTCTCTTTTGTGGGGGAGAAACAACTCTTTATCCTTCCTTGCTTCTCCTGAGTGAGTCGCCAGAGGGCTTGTGGCCAACCTCGACTTCAGGCCCCAGAAACCTTTCTCCTCATCTACTTCCTGCTGTGGAGGATGATCATGAGAAGCCTTTTGCTGAGCTCTTCCCCAGCCCAGGTGTCCCCCAGGAGCCCCCACAGTCCTGTCTGAGCTCATTCTCAAGTGCGTAATCCCTACCCTCCCAGCTTCTACCCTCCAGCCCAGTGGCTTCATCTTTGTGATCTACACTTCAGGGTGGTGATCTCCCATTGTCTTAACTATCCTTCTCTGGACTGTGTCTATGCAAACGTGCAGCCTATTGTGAGCTGGACAAGGTGCTGTGTGGGGCTGGAGCTCAGAGCGGGCATGATGATCGCTCCTTTTTTCCTTTCTTTTTTTTTTTATACACAGCAGCTTTATTGCAATGCAACTTGCATACCATACAAATCACCTATCAAAAGTGTACAGTTGGATGACTGTTAGTACAGTCACAGAATTTTGCAACCATTACCACTATCTAATTTCATAAATATTTCTATCACCTCAAAATAAACCCCATTCCCATTAAGCAATCACCCCCAATTTCTCTCCAACTGCCCTAGTTCCTGGCAACCACTAATTTTTCTGTCTCTATGGATTTGTCTGTTCTGGACATTTCATATAAATGGGATCATGCTGTATGCATGACCACATCGTTCTTGACCACAGCTCTGCCCAGCAGCCAACCCGGTTTGGATTGGTTGTGGTTTTAAACTGCAGGCGGTTACGGGTAGCATTCAGCGAGCTTCATTGTCTGCAGAGCGAGGATTTGAGGATTTCTATTTTTATTTTCCCTCATCTTCCCAGTGATGCCCAGGACCTGCGTGGCCTTTTGCACTAATGCCTCAGGGAGCAGATGGCCCATCTCCCAGCTTCATTTCTAGGGCCAGCCCCATGGCTTAGAGCAGACCATCTGCCCTGTGTGGTTTGGGCAGGATGCCCTGGCGTGGCTTTGCTCACACCTTGACTCCCTGGTCACTGTGGCCTGTTACTCCCACAGGAACCTATGGCAGGTCTCTACATGAAGTATTGTCAGTCTCCCCACACTCTCCATACTGAGTTTCATGCCTGTGCTTCCCGCAGTGGCCCACCTTCTGTTCCTCAAAGACACCATGTGCTTTTGCACCTCTGTGCTCTCGTATCTGTGTCCCCACCACTTGAGATGCCCTGCCCCCATCTTGCTCCCTGGGCAAACGTATTCTTCAAGACGCCCTTCAAATGTGATGCCCACTGAGGTATGGACAGGGCTCGAAGCCATGGCTCCCTGGGGTTTGGCTGGGCCCCAAGAAGGAGAGAGGCAGAGACTGGCTGAGCAGATCATGCCCAGTTCCTTCTTTCAAACTCACTCTTTCTCCCAGGGTGAGGTGTGAGTGAGGAGCAGGGTGAGAGGCCAAGAGGGTTACCTAGAGTGGGCCCCCCACCTGGAGGCAAGAAGGGTGAAGACCAGGTATCTCCTGCTCCCCAGTACCTGTTGCCTTGTCTGTTATTGGTACTCTAAGCAGCTCCAGCTGTGTCCTGATGGGTGGGTGGGGCCTTCTAGGTGATACCATTGCTGACCTTTGTGGCCGCTGCATCCCCTCAGCCCCCAGTCCCTCCAGCATATTGTGGAATGAGATTCCTGGGCCCATTTCCTGAAGGAAATTTCTGATCTGGTTTTGAAAAGTATATGGTGCTTGATCTGGGACGGTCACTCTGCTGGGCTGATAAACCCCAGAGTGACAGCCACGGCATTTGTAGATTTTACTGATGGAAATGTAGGGTTTAGGCTGAGGGGGCTCATGCGGGCTGCCACTAGGAAGTGAGCACAAATGCTCAGGACGGGGTTTGACGTCTCCTGGATGCTTTTCCTTCTGCCTCACTAGTGTTAATCAGTTGCCTTCTGTCTCACTCTGGTTTTACCTCTAGATCTGATGGGATATTTTTCTAACTTACCTCCCTCCCCTTGCACCCCTGGATTCATCTGTGACTCGGGAATTTGAAAAGCCTGAGCCTTTCTGGACAAGAGTCTGCTGACTGTCTTGTTCACCTGGTGCTTGCCCTTGTCTCTTAGGAGTAACTCTGTGCCTTTCTCATTGATCTTTTCAGCCTTTCCTCTTTAAGATACAAAGATACAAGGAGATACAAAGATACAAAGAAGAAGCTTCTAGCATGGATAGATGAGAGTCACCCTGTTCTCATCATTCTCCCCTATTCCACCCACCACTTCTCATCGCTCTGCATGAGGGATGATGTAAAATCATCAGCCTCCCCCAACATTGAAGGCTCATTTCTCTCCCCAGGGGTCTCTGGCCAAATATTCCTCCACTGAAACTTTCTGCAACCTGCTTTAGTAGGAGGCTACATCACTTTCTATAGAGCAGAGATTTTCTGCCTAGTTTTTGTGGTTTTATATTAAGATTTGATTAGGTTTTTATAGGAGTAGCTATAAAACTTATAAGGATCTTTGTTGTCTAGTCTCTTCTCTAGATGATGGATTTGAATGTTGAGAGTCGTCTGCATTCTGGGGAGGGGATTGGGGAAGGAATACGAGTGGTGTCTCCTCCGACCTTTCTTCCCTCTCCAGGCGGAGGCTTCTCCTGTCTTCACCCCCCAGCCCCTCTCCCCAGCCACTCTCATTCCCACCTATAATAAAAAGGCGTTGAGTTTGTCCTTCTGTTTTGGGCTCTGAGCCACAGCAGCACAGGGCCCTTCATCTTTGGCAACATTTTCCTCTCCTTGCCTCTCCTTGGCGGTGACAGACCAGGCAGGCGACAGACCAGGCAGGCAGGCAGTGAGCGTGTGTGTGTCTCCTCGGCTCACAGGGACACGGAGATTGATGACCTGAAGACGCAGCTGTCTCGCATGCAGGAGGACTGGATTGAGGAGGAGTGCCACCGCGTGGAGGCCCAGCTGGCCCTGAAGGAAGCCCGAAAGGAGATCAAGCAGCTCAAGCAGGTCATTGACACTGTCAAGAACAACCTGATTGACAAGGACAAGGGGCTGCAGAAGTACTTCGTGGACATCAACATCCAGAACAAGAAGCTGGAGACTCTGCTGCATAGCATGGAGGTGGCCCAGAACGGCATGGCCAAGGAGGATGGCACCGGGGAGTCAGCCGGCGGGTCCCCTGCCCGCTCCCTCACCCGCAGCTCCACCTACACCAAGCTGAGTGACCCGGCCGTCTGTGGTGACCGCCAGCCGGGCGATCCCTCCAATGGCTCTGCTGAGGATGGGGCAGACAGTGGCTTTGCGGCAGCTGATGACACACTGAGCCGGACGGACGCCCTGGAGGCCAGCAGCCTGCTGTCGTCCGGGGTGGACTGTGGCACTGAGGAGACCTCGCTGCACAGCTCCTTTGGCCTGGGCCCCCGCTTCCCCGCCAGCAACACCTATGAGAAGCTGCTGTGTGGCATGGAGGCTGGCGTGCAGGCCAGCTGCATGCAGGAGCGTGCCATCCAGACAGACTTCGTGCAGTACCAGCCTGACCTTGACACCATCCTGGAGAAAGTGACCCAGGCCCAGGTCTGTGCGACAGACCCTGAGTCAGGGGACGGGTGCCCAGAGCTGGACGCTCACCCTCCGGGGCCCAGAGACCCCAATTCAGCAGTGGTGGTGACGGTGGGTGACGAGCTAGAGGCCCCAGAGCCCATCACCCGTGGACCCACCCCACAGCGGCCTGGTGCCAACCCCAACCCTGGCCAGTCGGTGAGCGTGGTGTGCCCCGTGGAGGAGGAGGAGGAGGCTGCCGCAGCCGAGAAGGAGCCCAAGAGTTACTGGAGCCGCCACTACATCGTGGATCTGCTGGCTGTGGTGGTGCCGGCCGTGCCCACGGTGGCCTGGCTTTGCCGCTCCCAGCGGCGCCACGGCCAGCCCATCTACAACATCAGCTCCCTGCTTCGGGGCTGCTGCACTGTGGCCTTGCACTCCATCCGCAGGATCAGCTGCCGCTCGCTGAGCCAGCCCAGTCCCAGCCCGGCGGGCGGCAGCTCCCAGCTCTGAGGAGGCCCATTCCGGCCGCGGCGCCTGCAGCCTGACCACTGATTGTAGGGATGCCGTCCCCCTCCCTTCTCCCATGGGCATCATCTTATTTATTTAGTTTTGGGTGTGGAACTGTTTCTTTTTTTCAGGATGTTAAAACAGTCTCGTGGCAGGAGCAGGGGTTGGAGAAAGGCATCCCAAAGCTTCGATGGAGAGCAGGGAAGGCAGACCCAAGGCAGGAGGCACACCGGCTGGACAAATCGCAGGGAGGGGAGGGCGCTAGGGCCCTCTGTCCCCCTGGCCCTTCAGACAGGGCTGGCCCTGCTCAGGAAGCCTCTGGCTGTCTTTATCTGGAGAAGCCGGGCTTGAGTTGCCCACAGGCCCTTGCCCTGCACCGTCCTGTCCAGCGCCCTGCTCACTCCATACCTGCTCTTCCAAGCCACCTTGCCCTCAGCCCAGGCTCCTGGGCCAGCACTCTCTCCTCAAATGGAAGCAGCCATGGCCTAAAGTGTAGATCACTGACCCAGGGCTCAGAGCAGAGGCCGGAACCACTGGGCTGGGCCGGCGTTCCAGCCTCCCCAGACTGCTCCCCACCTTGGGACTCAGGAGCTCGGTCAAGGCCACAGGCTGGAGGAGAGACGGGGCTGGGCGCAAGGTGGCGGAGGGCAGTGTGGGTTCTGTGTCTGTCTGTTCATCCCAGGCCTTCCCGTCATCCCTTTCCTCTTGGCACTTCTGGGTGTGTCAATCATTATTCCTGTGAGGCAGCTAAGCCCGGCAAGCTCAGTGCTGGGGTAGGAGGGCCTGCCTGAGTCCCAGCTCCCAGCTGGAGAATCCACCAGCACAAGAAGAGGAGGCAGGGGGCAGAAGCCCAAGGGGGCTCCCTCAGTCTTCCAAGGTGAGGCCGTCTCATCTGCAGGCTGGGAGGCAGGGCTGGACTCAGGAATCCACAGCTTACTGAAAAAGCCAGAGGCCATGACTGCCCCCAGGAACTTGCCCCGAGTTTCTCTGGGGCCCTCGGGCCCAACTTCTGCTTTGCACTATGTTCATTTTGGGGTTGGTTCTCAGCCATCCAAGGGTCTCCAGTGAGATGGCTGCTTGCTGTCTGAGATGAGGGTTCCTAAACCTTAAACCTATCTGCCTCTGGAGGAGGGTGGGGGACTCTGGCAGGATGAATCGCAGGATGGCGTACTGAAGCCACGATGTTCGTCCAGGCCAAAGCATGGTGTCCTGGGATAGGTTTCCCAGGCAGGGGCATGGCAGAGCCGGCAGGCACCCTGCAGCCTCCCTGCTCCCAGCCCAAGGCCAGTCGGCCTGGGAAGTTCACTGCCCCAACTCCTTTCCCGGGACCATACTGAGTCCCCCAGCCACGCTGCTGACATTCTTATTACCTTTATTATCTTACCAAGTAAACTCACTCCTCTTCCCCCACAGGGGTTACAACCATCTGGTTGTCCCTCCCACTCTTCAGAGGCGAGGCCCCACATCTGGGGGGTTGGAGGGACCCTGTGTCTTACTCGCCCCTCTAGCCTAAGGGCCACTCTGGTTCTCTGCCAAGGTTGCTTGCCCTCACCCCAATGCTCCAACAGCCATTGCCTGACTCATGGGCTCTGCCCTTCTGTTCGGTGCCCTCCACGCGAGGCGGGGCACCTGCATGCACTGGGAGGGGGCAGCTGGACCAGCCCTCAGGGCAGGAGCCCCCCTCTGCCACACGCTTTGTGCCTCCAAAGCTCCCCCCGCCTTGGTCAGGGCCTCAGACCAGCCATCCTTTGTGGAATATGCCCCAACCCAGCCAAACCAAACCCAAATGCCTGAGGCCTGGCTGGGGCTGCCCCCGCAGGACACTGTGGCCATGCCACGGAGGGGGCAGTGGACAAAACCAATCCAAAGCCAAAACAGGACTGGCCGCGGACCCAGCCTCCTGTGCTGCGCACTCATGGAGCTGCGTAGTCTCCTTAGACATAGTCAAAGCTTTGCCAAGAAAAGAAATGTATGAACTATATTTGACAACATAAAATCTCTCTATTTTTCACCACTGGAATTTAGTCAAGCTTCAAGCCCCTCTGCTCCTGTCTGTGTCTTGCGTCTGTGGCCTTCCTGTTGTGTCTTGTGTTTTGGTGGATGTGACAGGGCTGGGGCCACAGTCTACTCTGTCCCTGCTGCTAGAGAAGCCACCTGTGGAGGAGTGGGCTGTGGTTGGGCCTGAGGCCTGTGGAGGAGGTAAGCGTAGCCAGCAGCAGCCCTCTACTCCTATTCTGGCCTGAGACCACCAGTGTGGGTCACGAGGGCCCTGGCCCACAGTGTTGAGGGTCCTCTCTTTCGGGGGTTCTCCTGGGGCCTTTGATGGGCTTTTCTTCTTGTCAGTGGAGGAAGCAGCTCCCCACTCAGCCCTGGGACAGGCCCTGGGACTGTGGCAGCCGGTGGCCCTGGCCCAGCTCTGGAGTGCGTGTGTGTGTGCTCAGATCCCGCATCTATGCAAAGGTGCAGGCTGCCTGTGCGGCTCCAGGCGGTGGAGGTGCAGCAGCTGCTGCTCAGGCGCCATGCCCTGAAGAGGCAGGGTACAGATGGGGCTGGGAGGGCAAAGATGGGGTGGGGCCTCCCCCGAGAGAGCTCACCCTCCACAGCGACCCTTTTCCTTCCTGCCTAATCCCGTTGGGCTGCGACCTTTTCCTCCTGCCCTCAGTTTCTGAAACAGAAATCTTTGGGGCCTCCCCTTTCCCCAGAGTCTGGCCAGAGCTGATGAGGTCCTGAGGAACAATGTCCCCAGGAACCACGTTCTGGAGCCTGGTGGCCAGACGTGGCTTCTCCTGAGTTCTAGGGCTCGGGCCAGAGTGGCCCTACTGCCCGGCCAGTCCAGGCTCAGGCAGGAATCGGATGCTGGGGCCCGGGCTCTGCACAGAGAGCTGGGCTTGAGTGGAGTCGATTGTAGATTTCTCCCAAGGGGATCACTTAGCTTCTCACTGACACACCCTTCCCAATTGCCACTAGCACAGGGGTATCTTACAGCACTTTGGGGAGGGGTGGGACAAACGGCAAGGTTCTGGGGCCAAGGCCTACCCAGGGGCCTCTGGCCAGAGAACTCACAACCCCCCTCTGACCTAGGGGTCAATGCAAACAGGTCACAGTGCACTCCCATATTATGCCATCCCTTTGACGAAGAATTCAGGGGATGTGGGAAGTGGGGAGGCGGGGAGGGATCTTGACTCTTGTCTCCTTTGTCCTTTTGTTCAGACAGTTGTACCTGCAGCAGACAACTCTGAATTAAAGCATGAAAACACAGCAAGCCCCTTGGCCTGTTTTCTTTATACCGGGTGGTTTCTCTAAGGGGGGCAGTGGGAGGGTTCACAGCGTCTTCCTCCAGTACAGGGGCCACAGCACTCGCACAGGAAAAAGCCAGGCAAGCAGCGATCGCCTCTGACATGCAGGGAAGCAGAGAGCTGTGCGGGGCTGGGGCACCACTGCTCTCTTGGGGTCAGGCTTAGGGTCTGGAACCACCTCCCCCTGCCCCCACATGGCACACCCTGCTGGGCACCACGAGCACATCGCGTTTCACCCTCCCCAACATCCCCTGAAGTGGCTTCTCATGCCCACTTTGCAGAATCAGAAACAGCCATGGTCACATGGGGGGTGCCCCAAAGCCCAGTGCTCCCTCTGCCAGCCCCACTGCCCCACAGTCCTACCCCGCCCCACAGTTCCATCCTGTCCCCAGTTCCAGTCATCCCTGCACCAGGCTGGCAGGCGGCACGTGACAGAGGCAAAGCCAAATCATGGCTCTCAGAGACCACACGGAGAAAAGGCCCTGGTCTCGCCACAGTTTAAGAGAAAACCAGCCCTGGCACGTCAGGGGACCGAGGATTCCAGAATTTTCAATTATCTTTTTATTTTATTTTCAATAGTTTTGGGGGGAATCAATTACCTTTGCGGACGGGTTTTGTTTAAAATCAAATCTTTATTCAAAAGATAGTCAAGGCTGATAACTTATGCTGTCTGTGACAAAGAGCAAGTCAAGGCAAGGAAAAAGCTCTCACAAAGAATGTAGCTCTGTTCTCTCAAATGTGTAACTGTTTTCCTGGTAGAGCAAAATTTCTTGAAAGGGGCCCAGTTGCAACTTTAAGAAGTGTTTAGACGGCCTGCCTCCGTGTTCAGCATTTAAATCAGCACAAGAGAATCGGCTGCCTGTGGGCTCTGCCTGAGCCTCAGCCCAGCCTGGAGTCTGAGACTCCAAGGAGGCCTGTGTGTATAAGCGACGTACCCACGCCATCCCATGGTCACCCTCCTGGACACGCCCCCCTCACGGCAGCTCCCACCTTAAGCAGCAGGCCAGCTGCAACCCATCATCCGAGGGTGTTGCCCTTTGCCGCAGGAGGGCGGGAGGCCCACCCTGCCCACCCTGCCCTCCAGTGGCTTCAGGCATCTGGAATGGAGTGGTCCATGGTGTGGTGGAGCAGGACTGGAGACAACCTGGATACAGCAACAATGGTGGCCAAGTTGGCAGCTCCTTCTCTCCGCCCTCCAGCAACCTCCACCCCCTTCTGAGCCAGCGCATCCCATGTGGGCCTTCACTCCCAGTTCTAAGACTTTCGAATCACCAGAAGCCACAAGCTACCTTGGAGGGAGGGGAAGGGGAAGGGAGTATGGAGCTGGCGGGGTCTGTGCCCTGTGTCAGTGCTGAGAAAGTGGAGTGGCTGAGCCAGGTGCACCCGGGAGGCAGGGAGGTGAGCGGGATGGCAGAGGAGGGGTGAGGAGGGGTGCAGCCTTACTTTTTGACCATGTGCTCGTAGATCACACTGGGGATGATGGTCAGGGTGACAACGTTCCCAGCTGTGGCCAGAATCTCCATGATCTTTTTGTCCTAGAGAGGAGGCAAGTAAGTGATCACCCTAAGGATTGGGGACCAGGGGCAACTCTACAGGCCCCTCTGTGGAGGAGTCAGCATGGCCACTGCTAGAGGACACACAGATGCCTGACTGCAGGGCAGGGCTGCCTCAGACCCCGAGCCTGTCAGATGAGGGTCCCAGCAGACTCCCAGGTAAGGTCTTGCTTGAGTGAGAACATGGGTCTCCCACATGTGCCAGGCGGTCCAAACACTAACACTGTGGCCATAGAAGAACCTCTGGCCCTTACTCAGAGCCTATTGACCTTTACTTTACACATGTATGTAATCTGGTTACATGTTTTCTTGATTGTTCCAAAATAAATGCGAGAAGATGTGCTAGACAGGACTAGCAATGGCCACAGGTGGAAATAAAGACAAATGATCTCAAGAAGTGTGGCTGGCTGGGACAAACTCGGTTCTGAAGAGTCTCATGACCCTATGGATTTCTGAATAACAATTTTCTAAAACATTCCTACTACGGAACATGATCCATTATACAAAAAAAAAGTGCCATAGAGCAAGGAGGTGTCCGTGCAGCCAGCAATAGCTACTATTTATTAAGCACCTACTATGTGCCTGGCACTGTGCTCAGAGCTCTAGGTACACTGTCTTTTTCTTTTTTGGAGACAGGGTCTGTCTCTGTTGCCCAGGCTGGAACGCAGTGGCATGATCATAGTTCACTGCAGCCTTGACCTCCCAGGCTCAAGTAGTCCTCCCACCTCAGCCTCCTGAGTAGCTGGGACTACAGGCGTGTACCACCACGCTTGGCTAATTTTTTAGCTTTTTTGTGGAAAGAGGGTTTCACATTGCCTAGGCTGGTCTCAAACTCCTGGACTTAAGTGATCCTCCTGCTTTGGCCTCCCAAAGCACCGGGATTACAGACGTGAGTCACTGCACCCAGCCCTATGAACACCATCTTACCTTCGGAAGAGGACGCTGAGGCTCAGGTGGGGTAAGCAAGCTGCCCATAGACCTGAGCCCTCCCACCACCCAGCAGTCCCTCCCCGGTGCGACCACCGGCCTACCTTCAGCCCGATGACATTCTGCCCATCCACCTCACACACATAGTGGTTGGTGAGGAGCCCGTTGCGGGCCGCAGAACTCCCTTTGACCAGAGAGACAATCTTCCCCTTCTTGATCACGAAGCCGACATGGCCCATGCTGTCCTTGTGCATGGTGACAGTCCGCTGGAACGGCCTGGCGGAAGGGACAGTGAGCTGACCTGAGGACATGGCCGGGGTCAGACGGAGAGGCTGCCCGGGCCTGGCTACTCACCTGTCCCGAACCACCATGACAATCTTCTCGGGTGATGCCTTCTTCACCACCTGATTGGCTTTGCGCGAGCTCCACCCAGCACAGTCACGCCCATCAATCTGCAGGATCTGGTCCCCAAAGCGCAGCCCCACAAGGGATGCGGGGGTGTTGGCCTGGACCAACTGCACAAAGAGCCCCTGGGGGAGGCAGGGTCCCAGAGTCAGCGTCCCTGGCCCACCCTAGGCACAGATCCCTCTTCCAAGCTGTTGTTTTCCTGATACTCCAGGAGCCTACAGAGTGCCAGGGGCACAGCTCTGCATGGCGGGCACCAAGATTACCCCATTTACTTGGGAGGAAACACTCTAGGCCTCATAGTTACAAAGGAGGTGGGTCAGAATTTCAATCCTGGCCTGAAGCTGCACCCCCCAAACACTCTACTGGACCATTCACAAAGGCATGGGTTTCCCTGGTATCTGCTGTCTACACCGTCTCCTGGAAGCTAGATGCCCTGGGCAGTGAACGGCTGGTGGGGAAGGGAGGCTCCTCCAGTGGAGGGCACTGCGCAACCCAGCACCAGCCTCGCCCAAGTCTCGGGGAGGAGGGACTGGGGGCAAGAGCCTGGCCAGTGGGGTTAGGAGGCGCTCTGCACCTTCCTTACTGCGGACCGGACCTCTGAGCTCTGAGGCCCGGCGGGAAAGGGCGTGCAGCTCGAGCTCCTCTTCCCACCCAGCCCCCGCGCCATACCTGGTCGACTGTCCGCAGCCTCAGTCCGGTCTTGCCGCGCTCGTCCTTGCACAGGTGGATCTCGCGCACCCCGGGCTTGATCTCTGCTCGCCGCACGCCCAGGCTGTACCCGGACACCGGTGCCACCATCTGGCCAGGCGCGGGGCCCGAGACCGCTGTCTGCAGACACCAGGGAGCAGGGGGTCAGCCCGGCCCGTGGGGACCCTGTGCCTCAGGAGACACTGGGGTGGGGGTAAGGATGGGGAAAGGAGGATGGAGCCGTCCCCGGGTCCCACCACATCCCCAGTCCACATTTCTCCCCTAGGGCCGAGAGGAGACGTGGCTCCACGCGGCCACTAGGGGGCGTCAAAGTCCATGCCCCTAAAAAGGCAGGGCAATGGGGAGAGAAGGGGCAAGGATACGGGAAGAGGCCCTTCATTTTCCAAGGGAAATTGGCATCAGGAAAAGACTCCTTTAAACCCCACTTAAAATAGAAAAAGTCACAGTAAACAGTGAGCAACAGGGGATAAAAGGACTGGATTTTTGTCTTGAAAAAAATGTAAAAATATAAAAATTAATGACGCAGAAAAAGGCAAGGAACTTCACTCTCCCAACACTATTAAAGACGGTACTGGAAGATCTAGCCAGCACCGCAGGCAAGAAAAGAGGGGGAGTCACACAGATCAGAAGAGAGGAAATAAAACGGTCCCTATTTATAGGTGTCATGATGGTCTACTAGAAAATCCCAAAGAATCTACAAATAAACTCCTAGATCAAATAAAAGAGTTTAGCAAGGTCCTGGGATACAAAATTAACGTATAAGATTCGATTGTACTTCTGTATACTAACAACGAACACGTGTAAACTGAAATTTTAAATGCAACACCAGGCTGGATGTGGTGCCTCATGCCTATAGTCCCAGCACTTTGGGAGGCCGAGGCAGGTGGATCACTTGAGCTCAGGAGTTCAAGACCAGCCTGGGCAACTGATGAAACCTCCTCTCTACCAAAAATACAAAAATCAGCTGGGCTGGTGGCAAACACCTGTAGTCCCTGCTACTCAGGTAGCTGAGGCAGGAGAATTACATGAACCGAGGAGGTGGAGGTTGCAGTGATCCAAGACTGAACCACTGCTCAGTGCAGCCTAGGTGACAGAGCAATACTCCATCTCAAAAAAAAAAAAAAAAAAAAAAAAGAAAAAGAAAAAGAAAAAGAAAAACAAAAGAAAAGAAAAGAAAAGGAAAGGAAAGGAAAAGAAAAGGAATACAATACAATACAATACCACTTACAATCACTCAAAAAAAAAAAAAAAAGAAAAGAAAAAAAAAAAAGGCCGAGCTCAGTGGCTCACTCCTATAATCCCAGCATTTTGGGAGACCAAGACCAGAGGATCACTTGAGACCAGGAGTTCAAGACCAGCCTGGGCAACAAAGTAAGACCCCCATCTCTGTTAAAAACAAAAACTCAACAAAACTTAAAAAAAAAAAAAAAAAGAAATACGTGTAACTCTAACAAAACACATACAGAAAATGTATGCTAAAAACGACAAAATACTGATAAAAGATATCAAAGAAGACCTAAATAAATGGAAGATTCTCTGTATTCGTGGGTTGAAAGAATTAGTGAAGCTGTCAATTGTCGCCAAATTGATACACAGATATGACACCATTTCTATCAAAATCTCTACAAGATGTTTTGCAGATCCAGGCAAGGTTAATCTAAACTTTATATGAAAAGACAAAGGAATTTAGAATAGCTAAAACAATGCTGACAAAAAGAATAGCGAGAGGAATCACTACCAAAGTTCAAGACTTATTATATAGCTACAGTAATCAAGACAGTGTGGTATTGGTGAAGGGATAGACAAGTATCAGTGGAACAAAGTAGATAATCCAGAAATAGCCTCAAATGAGTAAAGTCAACTGCTTTTTGCAAGAGTGCTTTCAACAAATAGTGTTGGCTAGGGCGCAGTGGTTCATGCCTGTAATCTTAGCAATTTGGGAGGCCAGTGCGGGGAGATCAGCTGAAGTCAGGAGTTCAAGACCAGCCTTTGGCAACAGGGTGAAACCTCATCTCTACAAAAAATACAAAAATTAGCCAGGTGTGCTGGAAAGTGCCTGTGGTTCCAGATACTCAGGAGGCTGAGATGGGAGGATCGCTTGAGCTTGGGAGGCAGAGGTTGCAGTGAGCCAAGATCATGTCACTGCACTCCAGCCTTGGTGACAGAGTGAGACCCCATCTCAAAACAAACAAACAAACAAACAAAACAACAAAAAAAGCAAATGGTGCAACCATGGCAAAAATATGAACTTTGACTGAAACCTAACTCCTTACAAAAAAATTAACTCAAATTCAATCATAAATTTAAATGCAAAACATAAAACTATAACAATTTTAGAAGAACATGAAGGAGAAAATCTTTCGGACTTAGGGCTTGGTAAATATTTCTTTGCAAAGTACAAACCACAAAAGAAAAAAAAATCAATAAACTGGACCTCATCAAAATTCAGAACTTTTAAGCTACAGACTGAGAGAAAATACAAACCACTTATCTGACAAAGGACTTTAGAATATATAAAGAACTCCCAAAACACTACAAACAAGCCCCAGCTTGGCCAACATAGCAAGACCTTGTCTCCACAAAAAATAAAAGTAACAATAATAAAAGAAATTAGCTGGGCATGGTAGTGTGCACCTGTGGTCCCAGCTACTCGGGAGGCTGAGGTGGGTGGATCACCTGAACCTGGGAGGTAGAGGCTGCAGTGACCTGTGATTGCACCACTGCACTGCCGCCTAGACAATAGAGTGAGACCCTGTCTTAAAAAACAAGAAGAAAACAAGCCAATTAGAAAATGAGTAAAATATATGAAGAAACATTTTACCAAAAAGAATATACAGATGGTAATAAGCACATGAAAAGATGGTCCACATCATCAGGTGTCAGGGAAATGCAAATTAAGACCATGATGAGCCATCACTATACCTATCATAATGGCTAAAATATAAAATAGTAATAACAACGAATTCTGGTGAAGAGATGAAGAAACTGGAGCACTCACGTGTTGCTCACAGCAAAGTAAAACGGTACAGCCACTCCAGGAAATAGTTTGGCAGTTTCTTTTTGAGACAGAGTCTCGCTCTGTTGCCCAGGCTGGAGTGCAGTGGTGTGATCTTGGCTCACTGCGGCTTCCACCTCTTGGGCTCAAGTACTCCTCCTGCCTTGGCCTCCTGAGTAGCTGAGACTACAGGCACAAGCCACCATACCTGGCTAATTTTTGTATTTTTTGTAGAGACAGAATTTCACCATGCTGCCCAGGTTGGTCTCGAACTTCTGGGCTCAAGTGATCCACCTGTCTCAGCCTCCCAAAGTACTGAGATTACAGGCATGTGCCACCAACCTGGTGGCAGTTTCTTTAAAAAATCTAAACATACATTTGTCATACAGCCTAGCAATTGCACTTTGGGCATTTGTCGTAGAGAAATGAAAATGTATGTCTACAAAAACCTGTATACGAATAACTTTGTTTATAACCACCAAAAACTGGGAACAACTTAATCATTCTTCAACAGATTCAACAAACTGTGGTACATTCGCATCATGGAATACTACTCAGCAGTAAAAAGGAATGAACTATTATTGACACACACAACAGCCTGGATGGATCTAGAGGGTATTGTGCTGAGTGAAAAAAGCCAACCTCAAATGGTCAAGATACTGTACGATTCCACTTATGTAACATTCTGAAATGACAAAACTATAGAGATGGAAAACAGAGGGCTGGCTGCCAGGGTTAGGGAGGGTGGCGAGGGGGCAGGCATGACTATACAGAAGCAGCCTGGAAGGGAGGTGGTTGTGGTGATGAACTAGTTCTGTATGGATTGCGGTGCTGGTTACATGAGTCTACACACTGATGAAATGACACAGAACTAGAGACACTTGTTCCCGCATAAGACTCCTGGTTTTGATAGTGTGCTACAGCTGTGGAAAATGTAATCGCTGAGGAAACTGGGTGAAGGGTACTAATGACTTCTCTGTACTCACTTTGCATCTTCCTGGGAATCTACTGTTTAACGATAAAAAGTTAAAAGCCATACACAATTTTAAATTATAAAAATATGTTCATCTTATATTTTTATCAAAATTAAAGTTGAAGGCATTTGTGTCCTAATTATAGGAGCAAAGAGTGATGACAGTGGGGCTGCCTACAGAAGGACCTTCTTTGCTTCATGTCTGCCTTTCACAGCACGACCATGAAGGGGGCCATTGTGGAGAAACACCCCAGGGTGCCATCAGTTCTTCTCAGGGTCCCACACGGCCTCATCCTTGTGGATTTTCTCCTGTCAGATCCTCATTTTGGCAGTGGCTTTGTATGCGTCTATGACAGTTCTCCATCGTCATGTCCATCAACTTCATGAAATTCCCCAGCCTTAGCAAGCTTTGCAGTTCGTACTTTCAGTTTCATCGACTCAGGATGAACCTGGCAGGAAGACTGACAGGTGGGATGCAGGGATGCTAGAGCTAACTGGTAAGGGGCTTAGGTGGGGACTGATTCTACAGGTGAGTATGTTTTCAGTAGCAAATATTTCTGTGATGGTGTCTTTTGCCCCCAAAGCCATGGAAAGCAGGAATTGAGCCTTGTTTAATTTGGGGACCAGAGCTGGGTGACAATCTCCTGCCCTCTCGGCTCTGCTTATCCATGCAGGCAGCCCTGCTTTTGATGCCCCCGGGTTCACATTGGGTTTAACAGCCTCCCTTCTCATCCAGCTCAGGCCCACGGTCAAACAGCAAGGCCTGGTTCCCCAGCCCCAAGGCTTGTGGGAAGATCTGAAACCATGAAAGCCTACAGTGCTTTTCATGAAGCCTCAAAATGAACGGTGCCATCAAGAAACAGAGCCACCAGAGTGCTGGGGAGATGGGAGGTCTGAGCACAGAGAGAAAGAAGGTCTGTTGAAATGGCAAGACCAAGAAAGAGGGAGGATTGGGAGGTTCTGCGCCCACAGCAGGCAGAAGCCAAATACATACACTGTCACCCTCCGGAATCTGAAGCAGGCTCTGCTGGACTTCTTGGCTGGAGAGGGAAAGACCCATATAATTTTCCAATTCTGCCAAGTTTGGGTACAAAACTGATGAGGAAAGAAGGAAGAATAAATGTGTCATTTGAGGGCATGTGCTTCCGCATACCTGCCTGGCTCCCCTGTGGCTGCTCATTTTTATTAAGCAATGGAGCCTGGGAATGGTGTTTATTTCTAAGACTGTGGGGTATCCCCAGGAACACTCACTGGTGAACGCTCCTCAGAGGGCCCAGGTGCAGGGTGGCACACCGAGTCCTCATGCACCACTTTGCTATTCAACTCCACTAACTTTATTTGACACCCAGAAACCTCTGCATCCCTCACTGAATGGTTCCCACCAGGACTGGCAGGGTCCTCATCCCTTCTTATAAGGATTTGTGTCCTTATAAGAACAGACAACAGAGGGTTCATGCATGCGCTCTCATGCTGTAGCTCTCTCGTGTTCGCGTTTTCTTTCTCTCTCTCTCTCAAGCAAGTGCACGGAGGAAAGGCCATGTAAGGACTCAGTCAGAAGGTGGCCATCTGCAAGCCAGGAAGGGAGCCCTCACCAAAACTGAATTGGCCAGAACCTTGATCTTGGGCTTCCAGCCTCCAGAACTGTGGGAATATACATTTTTGCTGTTGAAGTCATCCAGCCTATGGTATTTTGTTATGGAAGCCTGAGCTGAATGAGGCAAGTGGGGTTCTGGTCCCTTCTCTCTTTGAACCGCTATCTGCCGTCCACTTCTCCCCCACCTGCTCCCACCCCAGACCAGCCACAATTCCAGCAAGGAAGTCTGACAAGTGTGGTATTTCATTCCTGGGGTCACACAAGATTGGGTCACCAGACGGTGCTGACATGCTGATTTACGGTGACTCGAATCGTTTATATAAACAGAGGCCCCACAAATGATATCACATTCTCAAGGCAGCCTTGCTGGGGGCACCAGAGAGGCCGCAGCTTTGCTAACTCTCAGCTGGGTTTAGAAGGATAAACAGGTTCACTGGGCAGTCAAGGAGGGAGGGGAATAGCATGGGCACAGGCCCTAGGAGGTGAGGTGACTCAGCCCAGGTCAACCAGGCAGTAAGAGGTGGGTGGCAACTGGGAGCCTGGTCCTCTCCTCCTTCCATGTTGAGTGCTTAACCCTGGAGCCTCCCATATCTTTGGCATTGCCAAGCTTCCCTGATGACCTCTTCCCTGAAAGGACTGGGCACCCAGGAGCCCCCCACTCCAGCTCACCTACCTGGTGGTGGGGAAATGGCTGCCGCCTGGACTGGCAGGGCTGGCATCTTGGGCGAGGCTCTGGCTTGGGCCTGGGGAGGAGCAGGGAGCACTGGTCAGCTGTGGCCAGGACCCCAGGAACCCCAGAGCCTGGAGCTCCATGAGGCCAGGGTCTGGGCGTTAGGTTGTGAGTGGGCCTGGGGTGTGGGGGAAGTGTCCACCAACCCTCAGGGCTGAAGATCATGTAAACATGGCCTCCATGGATGTGTCTTTTCCTGGGAGGAGGTTCTGAGGGACTGTAACCCACCTGATGTCACAACCCGTTTACTGCCTGCAACAGGCAGAACATCAAGACCCATCTCCCAATCAAGTTCTCAGCTGCAAAGTCCAAAATTCTCAAAACCCACTGGAACCACAGAGTGCTGGGATGGAGGAAGAAGGGGGCTTCTGGGGGCTGAGCAGACCAATGCCCATGCCCACGAGCCTTGTTTCCTCTGAAAGCCTGCCTGAGAGCATGGGGCCTGCCCATTCTGGAGAGAGGGAGAGCTGGGCCTGGGCAGGACAGAGCGGGCATGAGAGAGGCATGCGTGCAGCTGCTTGGTCTTTTCCGTTCTTGCTGTAACACCATTGGCATTGCCCCCTGGATGTCTTCTCTGCCCAGCAGGCCCTGCAGTGGAGACCTACATGACCTGAGGCCTAAGGGAATCTCCAGGTGGCCCCAATTCCCAGCACCTTCCAGGATAATCCCCAAGATCCCCTTCAGGGAGTCCAGATGAGTGGAGTCTGGTGACTTACCTGAATGGCCTGGTCCACTTTTAGGTCTTCTAGAGATGGGTACAGGGATGACATGGCTGATTCTTGGAACACCCTGCAGAGTTCAGAGGGTGGGGAAGGATAAGGATGCAGCTGATGCCACCTTGAGAGGAGGCACAGACATCTGCAACAGCAAGTGGGTTGGAACTTAATATTCAAACAGGAAGGCAGCAGGACACTTAGAATCCCTCCCCGAACTCCACCCCTAATCCCCTCTCCATTTTCGAACTCTACTGTATTCCACCCATCTCTAGCCTCACTGTCAACTTTCAATCTTGGCCACAATGAAGTAAGACCAGTAGGAGATTTATAAAGACTCTCACACAAACTGTAGCAGAACTTAGACCCTCAACAGGGCACTGCTCCAGAGGGAGGAGGGAACGGGGAGTGGAGAGGCACCATGAGCACTTATTTACTAAACACCTTATCATTGTCTCCGGGAGAATCAGCAGGACCTCTCAGCAACGTACCCAGAGAAAGTGAAAGGAATGGCCTCTCAAGAAATGTTTTATTCCCTTCCTGACGAAACGTGGGGAAGGAGCAGTCTGCCTTTCTGGGTTCCTTCCCTTTACCCACTAACCACTGGCTCTGTCACACTCCCAGGCTTCGCTGCGGCAGTCCACTTCTACTGGAGCCCCTGTCCAACCTCCTTGTCACCCTCGGTTCCTGTGGGACATGCCTTGCCTGGCTCCAGGCACTACGGTCACTGCCCCTACCATCCAGGACCCTGCCCTCCAGGACAGCACTGGGGCAGCCTCCTGCCTGAACTCACCACTTGTCCTGACTGCAGTTCTGAGGGGTCAAGGTGTGTCCTATTCACCCCACTGAACCCACATGTGATAGGTACACATGATAAAGGAATGCCTGCTGGTGGCACAGGAAACTGAGGGGCCTGTGCCAGGGTGATGTGACTCCAGGCTTCTCAGGACCAGATCCGCTGGGTACCTCCCTGAGTGACCACAGGTGCGCCGAGGACATCCTCATCCATCACTGCTCCTTCTCCTCCCTCTGCACCTGCTGCCTTGACCCCCGTGTCATCGTTGGCCCCACTCCCACTATCCCTTCTCATCTGTCATCAAATCCCATCTTTCCCACATCCCATGTTGTGCAGGTCCCCATCATCTCCCTGGCCCTCCCCAGGTGCCACGACACCCTCCAAACATGCTGCTGCCTCCCCTCCTGCCCTCCTGCTCCTCTCCAGACAGCAGCCACCAGGCCCTTTGTGTACACACTTGGGATGTCATGCCCTGGTTGAAAGCCCCCCAGTGGCTCCCCTGCCTTGGGAATGTACTTTCCTTAAAGTGGCTCACAGGGCCTTCACGATTCCACCAGAGATTGGAACTGGTGGGCTCAGGGCCAGATGGAAATATATTTTATTTGACCTTGTGGAGTACTGTCAACGTTCAGATTACCAGCTTAAATGCAAGGCTCAAGGTACTAGATTTAATAATCTAATTTCCCACTGCTCCTGAAAAACAGGAAGCTTTGGCAACCCTGGACTGTAGCAGAGTAGCTACAATTGAGTAGCAGCAGACTCCAGGGTGACCCAGTCCACCATCCTCTATTGGCTCTTACACCCAGACCATTGTACTCACTGGCGCCAAGTCCCGATAGGTATTTGTTTGTAACCCTTGTCTACTTCTCCAGCTTCATTTCTTGCCTTATGTCCTTTCAGCTGCTACTTTCAGCTCCAGCCATAATGAGCTACTTTCACATCCTTGAATGTGATTCCCTCCCGTCTCTTTTGCATGTGTTATTCCTTCTATCTGGAATACCCCTCCTCTCCCTGCTCCTTGCTTGGCCAACTCCTAATGATTTTCAAGTCTCAGATCCGCAAGCTCCTCTTACAGGAAGCCTGCTTTCATTTGTTCTCCCCCTAGCCCCTGCGCCATGTCCTACTCCTGTTGAGTATTCACGAGTCCTGTGTTGCCTCTTTACTTGTCTGTCTACCTCCTTAGGAGTTCCAAGATGGCAGGAACAGGGGCTTCTCCTTTGCTGTGAAGCCTCTAACCCCTAGCATGGAGGCTAGCTCAATAATATTGCCAAAAGCAGCGCATTCTACCTGGGCTTCCACCTTTTTCCTTGTAAAGCTCTAGTATCCTAAGAACACCCACCTTCCTGGATGAAACAAGGACCAGAAGTCCCAAATGTGCCTCTCACAGTCCTGTTTTGTTGTTGTTGTTGTTATTATTATTATTATTTTGAGACAGGGTCTCACTCTGTTGCCAAAGCTGGAGTACAGTGGCGCTATCTTGGCTCACTGCAATTTCCAACTCCCGGGCTGAAGCCATCCTCCCACCTCAGCTTCCCAAGTGGCTGGGATATAGGTGCATGCCACCACACCTGGTTAATTTTTGTATTTTTTGTAGAGACAGGGTGTCAGCATGTTGCCCAGGCTGGTCTTGAACTCCTGGGCTCAAGCAATCTGCCCGCCTTGGTCTCCCCAAGTGTCGGGATTACAGGTGTGAGCCACCATGTCCGGCCTTTTGTTTTTAAAATCTGAATTAGTGCCAATATTTAAAAATCTGGAAATACAAAATTCATCACTTCTGACTTGTATTGAAAAAAATATAAACATTTGGCAAGGCAAGAGCTGGAATAGTGCATGGCAACACTCAGCCGGGCTGAGTCACAGCCTACCTCGTAGATGGGGCTGTACGTGCTTTCCTGTTTCCCCAAGTACCCATCAGCCCTTCACTGATTTGTGTTGCCTGCTTGGTTCCTGGAGGCAGCCAGTTCCAGACCCGTGCCCTAGCCTGGCCTTTGGGGTAGAAATGACCGTCCCAACAGGACAGGAATTTCCTAGGAGGAGAGGGAGTCTGGCTCTGACTTCCTTAGACCACCTGGGGGAAGAGACCCCTTTGCTTATGGCCTTCCCCACTGTGTACGCACGCTGAGGTTTTTAATCTTGGGACAGTCCTCAGCAGCTATCATCTGCCAAAACATGACCTGGCACCAGGACCATGCATGAACAGATGTAAAAGTAAGCAGCCACTCCTGCCTGATTTTCCTGACATTTAAGCAGTAGAGCACTTATATTTTTGTCAGCTGTCCCCTGGGAGAGCAGGGAGTCAGAGATCCATTTCCTGGAAATCACTCCCGGGCCAGATCACATAACGCTTTTTCTGTGTCTGAGACCCTTTCACCACTGCCACCTTCTGTGGGTCCATCTCAGTGCTGGGATGCGGGGAAGTGAGAAAACAGGTACAGTCGTTCCTTGGGCTACGTTCCAGGACAATGCCCCTCACCCCCCACCCATCGGATACCAACACCCACAGATGCTTACGTCCCTTACATAAAGTGGCATAATATTTGCATATAACTTACGTACATTCTTCTGTATACTTTAAATCATCTCTAGATTACTTACAATACCTAATACAATGTAAATGCTAAGCAAAGTTATACTTTATTTTTATTTGAATTTTTGTTGTATTTTTTTAACTTTTATTTTTAAATACTTTCTGTCTACAGTTGGTTGAATCCATGGATGCAAAACCTGGGATACAGAAGGCATACTGTATCCCCTGCCTTGTAGCAGCTCACAATATAGTGGGGAATGGTTCCCTGATGGCAAACATGCTGTCTTTCATTCAATCATTCAAAACATTTGAGTGTCCACTGTGTGCCAGGAATGCTGGTCGCTCTGCTTTGCACATCATCCTCCTTGGTGTGATGCTCCTTCAAGTCTCAGTTCAGATGCTACTTCTCTGCTTGGCTTTTCCAGGCTGCATCATACCCAGCCGCCTGGCTGGGTCTTCCCATGTATTCCACCCCTGACCTGTACTGCCCCTGTTGCCAAACTATTTATCAAATTAGGTGATTAATATCTGGGTATTTTCTTACACTGGACTTCACTCATAAGGGCAGGAGCTCTGTCCTGTTCACACATGATCCTTCACCACCACGATACTGCCCAGCACACACATGCTAGCAAAAATTATTTGACTGAATAAATCAGTGGTTTTCCAAGGAACGGATTGGAAATTTGTGTGGGCATTTTTGGCTGTCACAAGGCTGAGGGGACAGTCATATTCCTGGGGGGGGGGGTGGGCAGGGATATGAAATTCCTGTAATGGATGGGACAGTCCATTACAGTCACCATAACAAATGGTCCTGTCCCGCACAACTTTCAGGTATCTTGCCAAACCTTCAAGTAAGCCAAAACTCTGTTATAATTGGTTGTATATACAATCACAATGAACTTTTCCCTAGTTTTAATACACACTAGATTGTCTGGAAATGCATACACTAGGTTGACTGTGGGGAGTTACACTTTGCTCACCATTCTGGAAAATCACTGCCCACCCTCTCACCACGGGTGAGTCACCCGAACAGCATGCCCACGTCTGTGCGCATGAGTAGCTGTCACAGTGACTCCACGCTTCTACATAAATATATTTAGCCTTTGACTCAAGATATCAGATATAAACTGTTCGCAAAATTCAGCTGAATATTGTCTTCTAGTAAATCTAAGCTGACTCCTAAGTCAGGTACAAGCATGATCGGGTGTAAGCCAGCCTCAGCTTTTACAAAGTGAAATGCATATTCTTTTATTAGAAATTACTTTCATTTCCCTGCCTTCTTTATAAAGAAAGGGCATCATATTGATTTTTTTACACGGGGGAACCATCACCTGGGCTGCAGCCTCAGGACGAACCTGTCCCTTCCGTCGGCCTCAATTTCCTGCTTTGGGAAGTAGGAGCCACGAGGCACAAACTCCATCCACTGCGCCACAGGAGAGAGGTCCAACGCAACGGTCCCTAGGACCTGCCTCCACCCCAGCCTCAGTTTCCCATCTGTCACATCGTTCCATGATTCCAAAACGACTACAACTCTCCTCGCAGCCCCAAACCAACCGGAAGCTACATCTTCCGGTTGCTACAGGTTACGGCAGTTGCTATGGGCTACGGCGCCTGCGCAGAAACCCCGTCAAGTGACACAGCAGCTTCTGGAGCGCATGCGTCTCGCCCACCGTGGCCCGCGGTAACTCCCACGATCCCTAGCGGCTGCGGAGTGGAAAATGGCGGCCTCCTTGCCGCTTGGGTTACTAGAGTCCACCCAGCCTCGTGCTTTCTTCGGGCGCCCGTAGCTGGCGCCGGCATCCACAAAAATAGATCAGGTAAAGCAGCAGAGTAAGGGATAGGAAGGCTTGGTCGGGCTCCGCGGCCCCTCTTTACCGAATTGGAGGCTGCGCGGGTGAAATAGAGCTTTAAACTCCCCTGGCCTCTGAACACCATCTGTATCCTCCGAAGGAGGAGGACTTATAAGATTCTGTACTTAAGGCAGCCGTGGAAAGGGAGGAGAACCAGGTCGGCCCGCGCGCTCCCAGCTGCTTTTGCTCTCCCTTTGGCTTCGGAAGCGTCAATTCCCAAAGTATTTCCTACCAGTTGTGACGTCATCCTTCCTCCCACCCTTTCTCACCCGTTTCTTGTCTGGCCGTGACTTCTGACCCAGTGTTGTGCAAAAAATGCCCCGCCCCCCCCAACGCAGATTCACCTCGGTTCCCACCCACCAGTGACTGAGTGACTGGGCTTCTGCTGCCTAGGGAAGGGTTCTTGACTTGGCTGGGCAAATCAGTTCCCACAGCAAAATCAGACCGAAAGCCTGTTGTAAGGGGCTCAGGCAGTTGGATCTGGCGTATAGGAGGAAGGCTAGGGCAAGCAGGAGGGTCTCCTGGAGGAAGGAAGGAGACCCTGACTGGGCCGTGTAGGATGGATGTTCAAGTGGGAAGAGAGTGTGCTGTTCCAGGGACAGGGAGGCCCAGGCCTGAGAGTCCAGTTGCCTTGTGGATCCCGTTTACCTCGCAGGTTATCCAAACTAGTCTCATAATTTTCCCCAGCTGTGCCGCGCCTCCACAGCAGTCCCACTAAATCCACCCATGGGCTATGTCAGAAATCTGGGAGTTATCCTCACCTCCCTTTCCCTTCTGAAGCCATACCTAATTCTTGCGCTCAAATTTCTGTGACCTGACTTCTGGTAAGGTTTCTGTTGTTACCACGTCGTTTCTCCACACATCATGAAATTCATTTATTCCAAACTACTTTAGGTTGAGTGCTAAAACTCAGCCTGCTAGTTCATGCCTCCATGCTTTTGCAGGTGCTATTCCCTCTGTCTTAAGTGTCATTCATGCCTTCTCTCTTTTCCTTGTTGTGAACTCTTCTTCCTCCAGTTCAAAGCTTTCCCCCACATGTACCCATGGAGATTAGCAAGCCTCCCTTTTCTAGACTACAGCATTTCTTCTATTTGCCTCTTCATCATTCATTCCACAAGTGTTTATTAATCACCTACTGTGAGCAAGGCCTTCTGCATTTCCTGGGTTGGATTTCTATTGTGCGTGTTTGTTTGCTCATCTCCCTCACTGGTCAGGAAATGTCACTCATTTGTTAACCCCCAGTGCTGAGCACAGTGCCTGGCACACAACAGGCGTCCCATTACTATTTCTGAAAGGAGTGGAAAAGCAGGCACAGAGAGAAGAGAAAGCCTGATATCCTAAATATACAGTCTTTCTTCCCATGCCTGTCTGTGTTTGCAGGCAATAAGTAAAAAGTCTTTCGAAGAATAACCTGGGCCTGGAAAGGGAGAGAAACCACGACCCTAACAAGTTAGGTTGAAAGGCTGCCTGGCTCCTATAATCTGACAATGGAAGTTTGCTCAGTTCTGTGCTGATGGCTTCCCACAAGTAATTGGCTTCTCTGAAAGGAAAAGAACCCACCTAACCCCTCTCTCCCAGAGGAATTTTCCTCTCCCACAGCCCTTTCCAGATTTCCATCCCTGAGCTTCTGTACTTTTTGATATTATAAGCAATAACAACACCCACAGCAAACCAGTAGTTGGGCTTCGGAGATCAGCAGGGCTGACAAGGGGACCTCAGCCCCCATCTTTGAACTTAGAGTGAGAACACTCTGGAACACTTTGTTCCAAAGAGCTGAAGTGATGAGACTCCCACTTGTTCCTGTGGACAGCTCATCCATCCTTTACGAGACAGTGTGCGGGAGGGAAGCGTGGGTTAGAGTGTCAGAGGAATAGCTCCTGGAAGGCCAAATTAGCCCAGGGATATGGTGAGTCGGAATAGAAGAAGCTGTTGCTAGGCCACCAGCATGTCCCCGCTCCTCCTCTCGGGGCTGCACTGCCTGCTGGAGAAAAGGTGCGACTTCCTCATGAACCCAGGCCCAGGCAGGGCAGGGTTCAGACTGACTGCTTCTGACTTGTGAGAGCACAGCATAGTTAAATTCCTTTTGAATGTCATTTCTTCCTTTGTAATCTGTATAACAATAGTTGCATCACAGTTATCTGGAGACTGAAAGATTTTTAAAAAGAGATAAGGTGTATATGGAAAGCATTTAGCACAGTACCTAGCACATAATAGGCATTCAGTAAAAGTTAACTGTTTATTCATTGTTTCAACACTTACTTATTGAGCACCTACTAAGTCTGAGTACTGTTCTAGGTATCAGCAGTGAAGGAAAGAAGAATTGGTCCCCAAATGTACTTTCTTTGGGGGAGGAGCTGGATAAATAGGCTCTGTGACTTTGTGTGCTATATTAGATGGTGGGAGGCACTGGAGAGAAACAGCAGGATGGAGGGTCATGTCAGGAGGTTCCGAAACCTTGCTGGCGGGGTGGGGTGACATTTGAGGAAAGGCCTAACGGAGTGGGTACAGCCATTGCAGAGGCTCTTAGGTGGGAGTTGGTGTTGCGTTTAGAGAGCATCTAACCAGTGAGAAGCCGGTTGCGCAGAGAGGGAGTAAGGAGGAGTAGTGGAGAGGAGGCTGGAGAAGTGACAGGGGCCAGATCCTGGAGGGCCTGGAGGCCATGGTGAGGACTCTGGCATTTACTGTAGTGAGATGGGAGCCACTGGAGGATTTGGAGCAGCAGAGTGCCAAGGTACAAGGGTTATTTTGACAGGCCTCCTCTGGCTGATGTTTGGAGGATGGGCTACAGGGCAGGAGTGGGAGCAGGAGCCCAGGTGGGAAGTGATGGTGGTGGAATTGTCATGAGCTTGGGCCACTGTATGTCGAAGCTGCCTGTCCAGTGCCTGCCCAGCCCATAGCAGGCTCGTTTTCTGCCCCATTTTCTGAGACCCTGCCGAGGAGGGCATGCACTGACTCCTGTGTCCAGTATGTCATTCCATGCTCCTGACTTTGTGGGCTATTTTCAGTCTCCAGATGAAGAAGCCAGTTCTTAGAAAGGTGAAGCCCCTGGCACAGTTCCCCAGCAGGTGTTTCAGTGCTGTAGCAGGAAGGTTTTTGATAGAAACAGCTTCAGGCCAGAGAAGGAGGCCTGGGCTGTGGATTCCTTGGGAGAAATGGGCTTTTTGCCTGCCTGCAGCCTCTGGTTTCAGCTGCAATTGGCCTTTCAAGGAGCAAAGTGTGGGTCTCATCTCCTTGAGCACAGTCATGGGCAGTCAGAAGGCACCGGGGGCCCTCATGATGTCTAGGTGAAGAAAATCACTCAGCCATCAATCAAACCTGGCCCAGGGCTAGGATCAGAAGAAGAAACCCCACTTTCACACTTGACTCCTGGAGTGAAGCACTTCAATATGAAGTTGCCTGGGAAGTCCCAAAAGGGAAGGGGCAGGGAGGGAAGGAGACAGGGTGAGGGCAGGTCTCACTCATCCCAGTCCCAGCCAGGATCAGGTCAGGGCCCCCAGCGCTTACCTGCAGGCCAGGTGCTGCTCCACGACCTTCTCCAGCCACTGCCGCTGCTGAATCTGTTTCCCTCCCTGGAAGATAGCCCTGTCTCAGCTGGCTTCCTGCTCTGGGAAGGGTGGTGCCCATCCCCTGTTCAGCTGACTCACCTTGGACTGGGATGGGCACAGGTGAGGGCTGTGGCTGGGTAAACAAGGCAGGTTGCCAGCCCAGAGGAGGCCTTTGGCCTTAGTCTAGATTTGGAGGTGGGATTAAGGCCCTCACAGCTGCTGTTCAGAAGTTTATGAACCAAGACTTGTTGGCCTTTTCTCAAATAGCTCTACATTTGGGTTGGACACCTAGTCCTGCTGATCGTGGAAAGCAGTTGACTAGAGGGTGGTTTGTGGTAGGTATCTAGGGGTCTAGGCCAGGATATTGAAAAGTGGTCATATCCTGTGACCCAGCATTTCTTCTGGGAATTTGTTACAGTGGAGTCACAGCGCCCATCCATCACTGCTGCTTCTAGTAAGGAAAACGTAGAAATCCCAAATGCCCATTTCTGTGGTCTGCTTAAATAAATCATTATCTGTGGAAGATCACAGAGCTATTAAAGTCATTTAAGGAAGAAGGTATGAGGAAATATTTCTGAGATTCTAGTGAGATGTTGAAAAATCAATATTGTGAATCTCCTCTTGCATTGTGTTTTCATTTTTTGTAAGGTGGATGTGTGTTGAAAGCAGTCTAAAATGCTGAGGATCTCTGGATGGTGGCGTTGAGGGTGAGATTTTCAGCTTGTACTTTTGTGTGTTCCAGGGTGGTTTTCTGTTTTGTTTGGTTTTTGTTTTTTAAGTTAGCTTTTGCTCTGAATGCTCATGACTTTTGTAAGGGGGAAGCAATTAAGTTTGATTATTTTAACGGGAATTTAGATTGGTTGTCTCCTGGGAGTGGAACTAAGGAGCTGTGTGCTGAGGTGGAGATTTTTTTTTTAATGGCACATTTTTTGGTGTCTTAAATTTTGAAAAGTTTAAATGTACTACTTATTCCAAAAATAATTATATGAATTTGAACATAAAAGGAGGAAGAATTTAGTTTAGATCCTGATGGGTTTGGTTGGATGAGGGTGCCTGTCCCACTGGGTGCCTGGGCAGGGACGGGGGCCCCGTGTGCTGGCCAGTCCCATGAGGATTGACGGTGTACACACTCAGGGTGTGTCAGTATCTGGGTTGTTCTCTGGGCCAGGCAGGCCCACGTCACAGTCCCCATGAACCACCTGGCAGAGTTGAACTAGCCTTGAGCATCAGATCTTCTGCCTGCCTATGAAGCGCTTACAGCCCAGAGTCCCACACAGGAAACACACAATAGGAGCAATAACAAGAAAGACATTTGCCACTAATTCAGCACTTACTCCCAGAGAGCACAGAGATACTACCCCGGGCACTTTAAAGGCATTATCTCAATGGCTTCTCATGCCTTCCCTGCAGAGTAGGTGTGACTCACACCATTCCTCCAGGTGGGAAACTGAGGCACAGAGGCAAAGTTTCTCTCTCAAGTTAGCTGGAAAGTGGGCCAAGGCCATGTCTTCTCTTCTATGGGACACGCTGTTTCAGAAAGCTGAGGTGTGGGGCATACCTCAGGGTAAGCTACATGGCCCTGAAGCTGAGGTAACGTGGGTAATGGATCCACCTTAGGTCAGGTCTCTAGGGCCAAAGCAAAGTGGAAAATAGAGACCCTAATTGAACCAAGCAACTCCTCCCCCACCTCACTTCATTCAGTCATGACCTGAAAGGGCCTTTAGAGAAGAGGGAGGAGGAAGCAGGCCCTTCCGGGTGAGGGGCTTGCCTGTGGTCCCAGCATGTCAGCATGGAGCCCAGGTGCCCTAACTCCCACCTATTTAATACATACAGGGACTCTCTTTCTATTCCCTGGTTGGATAGTTGCCACTGATCACTGACTTCAGCCACCTAGAAATACCTTTCTTTGGGCACGCCCTTGCTCGAACTCTTCAGTGGCTCCCTCCTGCTTCAGGGTCTGGACTAAATTCCCAGGGCTGACATGGAGACCTCCACAGCCCACTCCCTTTATTACCTCCTCAGCACTCCCTCAGCACCTCTGCCTCAGCTGGACTGGGAGCCCCGCCATTGCTGCCCCACCGCACACCCACTTCCCACCCGTCCTGATTCCATACCTTTGCCTGTGCTGCCGCTGCCCCTAGAACACCTTCTCCTGCCCCCACCCACCTGGCCAAATCCACCACTGAGCTCCTCCAGGAAGCCTCCCGGATCACCCACATCCATGTGGCTTCTCCCACCTCTGACTCTGGATCAGAGTCTCCTGTTCCATTCTTTAATAATCATCATGTATTCGTGTGTACCTTAGGCTACTAGTTAGACCCTAAGTTCCTTGGGGGCAGGGCCAAGTTATTAGCTCTACAGTGGTTACTCTTCTTTTGAGACAGCATTTCGCTCTGTCACCCAGGCCGTAGTGCTGTGATGCAATCATGGTTCATTGCAGCCTTGACCTCCGAGGCTCAAGGGATCCTTCCACCTCAGCCTCCCTAGTAGCTGGGACCACAGGTGCACACTGCGACACCTGGCTAATTTTTTTATTTTCTGTAGAGACAGGGTTTCGCCATGTAGCCCAGACTGGTCTCAAACTCCTGAGCTCAAGTATTCTGCCTGCCTGAGCCTCTGAAAGTGCTGGGATTACAGGTGTGAGCCACCACGCCCAGCCAGTTACTCTTTTCAAAATAAGGAGTGGAACTGTGCTCTGACCAGACTGTATTTCTGCTTTGTTATCTATTTGTATGAACAAGTCTAAACTTTGGGTGGCCAGGAAACAGCACACACTCAGAAACTCCCAAATAGCACCTATGGCAGCCTGAGTAATCAACCACTATGTCCTTCCTGCTGGGCCCAGAGGCCTCTCTGGATCCTCTCATCATAATGCTACAGGCAGCTACTGTCGACTAGAGTTGGTTCATGAGGTGTAGTCTCTATGCCATCGGGAATGGGTGCTCCATGAAGGCAGGGGCTTGTCTTATCCCTAGGGCCTAGTACTATGCCTGGCACGTAGCAGGCTCACAGTAAATTTTTATTTATTTATTTATTTATTTATTTATTTTTTGAGATAGGGTCTTGCTCTGTCTGCCAGGCTCAAGTGATCCTCCTTTCTCAGCTTCCCACAATCCTCCTGCCTCAGCTTCCACCATCCTCCTGCCTCAGCTTCCCACAATCCTCCTGCCTCAGCTTCCACCATCCTCCTGCCTCAGCTTCCCACCATCCTCCTGCCTCAGCCTCCTGAGTAGCTGGGACCACAGGTATATGCCACCACAGCTGGTTAATTTTTGTATTTGCTGTAGAGATGGAGTTTTGCCATGTTGCCCAGGCTGGTTTTGAACTCCTGGGCTCAAGGGATGTGTCCACCTTGGCCTTCTAAAGTACTGAGATTACAGGCATGAGCCACCACACCTGGCCTCAGTAAATATTAACTGAGTGAATAAATGCCCCTCCTAGAAAAGTCAATCACAGTTAGAAACTTAAATGACTGACCCTTATGTAAAAGATGGGTTGGGCTGGGGCATCAGATCTGAGTCCCAGCTCTGTGATATTGCACATGTTACTAAACCTCTGAGCTGTAGTTTTCCACACCTACCTTCTTTACAGACTTATCCTGAAGGCTAAATGAGGTATCATGTGAAGTACCTAGGACACAGCTGGCATTTAGTAAATGTTAGTTTCCTACTTTCTCGTGGCTACATGTTACAGAAACAGTCATCTGAGTGAAGTGAAAATGGAGATGCTCTTCCCAGAAGACGAGAGAATGTTGGCTGGACAGAGAAGGAGGTGCTCTACACTCCAGCCTTCTGTGTGGAATCTGGGTGGTGCAGCAAGACCCTGGCTTATGTCATCACAGCTTTCTTCCTATTGCTGAATGATAATAACAGGAAGAGTACCATTTAATGAGTTCCTGCACACTGAGTGCTCTGCTGGGCACTGGGCATATACTGATCTTATCTGTTCACCGTAATTCCCAGCTTCAGAGTGAAGCACCTTGCCCAAGGCAACACACCCCGAGAGTGGTAAGGCCAAGCTTTGGCTCTGAACCTCTAGGAGTCTCCTACCCTGGTCAGCTGAGTCACAGATTTCTCTTTTAAGAAACCCACAAAGAAATCCTTAGGTGGCAAAAATTTGATCACATGGCCACACAGAGCTGCGTGGGAGGCTGGGAAACGGAGGCAGTCTATTGTTAGCAGGTTCTGTGCCAGCCTCTGCTATAGCATGCTGTCAAGCCCCTGCCCTCTCTGGGCCTCGAGTCTCCATATTTGGTCAGGGAAGAGTTTGGATGGATTTTCTCTGAGGTTTCCCCTAGCTGTACTAAGGCCCCACAAAGGGCCAACTCTGTTGCCACTTCCAGTCCCTGCTGAGGTGTGAACACCAAAGATGTCCACTATGAGCATTTGGCCTCCAGAGACAATGTCCTTCATGCTATTTCTGAGCTCCGTCTTGGTTTTGCTTTCTGGGGATGTGTGTGAGTTAAGGTAGGCCAGGTTATGCTGCAGCAGCAAACAACCCTGAAATCTTAGTGGCTCCTAATAGGAAGTGTCTTTCTCATACACACTACTACCCGTCGAGGGCTGGCAGGGTCCCCGTGTCTCCTTACTCCAGGACCGGGGGTGATGGGGCAGCTGCCATCTCAAAGGCTGTCAGAAGCCACGGCAGAGGGAAAGAGATCTCTATCTGGCAATTAAGTGCTCCAGCCCAAATAACAAATGTCACTTCTCACACCTTGTTGGCCAGGTTACCCCACCTCCCAATCACAAGGGAGCAGGGAACTGCCATCCTACCACATGCCTGGAAGGCAGAGAGTAGGAAATACAGGAGGATGACATTAATAATAACCTCAGGCCTCTGTTCCAGAGTGTCTGCCAGCCAGCTGTGATCACCTGTGTCTGGGCAGGGGTAGCAGATGTGACCTGGGAGGCTGCACCGAGCTCTGCTGGGACCTATGTGGGGAGTGCGGGGCTGAAGAGATGGAAAGACGTCTGACATTCTGGAGCCTGGAGCTGAGGCTGGACAGCGCAACCTGCCACTGTAGGTAGAATTCCTGTGCTGAAACTGAATCTCCAATGTGATA